CAGGCGAGGATCCCTGAGCCCGGCCAGTCTTCCTGCCTCCATTGCACTCCACCGGGGGAGCGCTGGCGAGACAGTCACAGTGAAACTGAGGCACAGAGCAGCATGGGGCTCACCCACCTTCTGCATGATGCAAACCCGAGTCCAGGTATCTGGGGCTTTGCCCTTGTGTGTGTCCTGAGACCCATCACCCCTCCAGCAGTCAGGGCATCAGCAGTGGCATGGCTCTTCCTCACAGCAGAAAACTGGGCTGCCAACACAGGGCCCACTTTCCAGCCCACAGCAGCATCTTCAGACCTAGGGACCCCCAGTGCTCACTCTCGATGCTTGTGGGCCACTGTGGCGCAACACCTCCCTCCAGCCAGCTGTTCCCCATGAGGCTCTGCCTACCTCCTAAGATCAGTTTCAGCTCTGCTGTCCCCTTACCGGCCACACCATGCAGCCAGGGGAGCTCTGCCAGCACACACTCTGGGTCTGCACTGATCCCCCCACAGCAAGGGGGAAGGGAAACAACCAGCCTCTTCTGGCACTTGCACCTCACCTGCCACCCATGAGGCAGCACTTCCCGGCGTTACTTCTCCCAGGGAAAAGCGCAGCCCTGAAGCTTGCTGCAGTCACTTCTGTGCCTCTGGCTCACAGGAGGGTGGCTGAAGGTGAGCTCCTGGGTCAGCTTTAACCAGCTGCGACCCAGCACAACTCGTGACACACCCAGTGCCCACCTGGGAGGTGGCACACGCTCGGTTCTGGTGCTGCTGATGTCTCATGGCACATTATGGGGGACACTGGGAACACTGGAGCATTGAATCTCTTTGGAACCAGGTGGGGGGACGCTCCATTGAGATTTGCACTGCCTGGATGGGACATGCTTTGTAAAATGAAGTGTTCCTCCAAACCCTTCGCCGACAGGATCCTGTTGGCTGCAGAGCCCTACGTGAACACTGTCACCACAAGGCCACCAGCTTCCAACCCCAGGAACAAGACTGTGGGGTTCCTGGCCTGTCACCTCCAAAGCGCTCCACGTGTGCTCATCAGGAAACTCCACAATGAGCTCCATGGGGAGCTAGCATTGCGTGACCCCCTGCTTCCCACTACCGTAGGCAGGAGAGTGGCCAACCAGCACCATAAGGAGGTTTTGCTGGGGCCCCTTGCTCCCATTTCACAGGCGGGGAAAACCGAAGCACCGGGAGCTGTAACAGCATGTCCAGACCCGCAGCAGGATCTGGACATGTGTTATCACAGAGGGGGGCTGCTCCTGCAGTGTGTCCACTGCAGGCTGGTGCAGGGCATGGCTCTACTGGCTCAGCCCATCATTACCTTCCCTCCCTCCCTCCCTCCCTCCAAAAAAACATTTCATAAGTTGCCACGTGATGGTGGCAATAGCAAACTCCCATGCGCTTCAGGTGCCTGCCCCAACCACAACACACAGGTGCCTGGGCTCAGCCACCGTGGCTCCTAGCCTGGCCCCAACCCCAGATAACACCTTGGACAAACAGCTGATCAGCTCAGAGCATGGCCTGGCCACCCAGCAAATCCCCCATGGATGGAAGCTCCCAAAATCAAGGGTATTTGGTTATATGCCATCCATCAACAGTGTCCAAGGTGAGGTAAACACTGTGGCAGTCTCACCAGGCACTTGCATTTGCCACCAGGGATTTAATAAGAGAGGAAAGCTCCTAGAGATGGGACAGTTTTTGGACAGCATCCAACCCCTTCACTGATGGATGGAGGGATGCCAACCCCACAAAGAGCCCCAGGATGGCTCTTGCCATGTAAATCCCAGCAGCACCCTTGGTTAGAGTTTTGCAGCCCCTTGTCCTCTCTTCCTCTCCATTCTCCACTCCCATGGACAGAAGAAGAGGTACTAATGCAGGAAAACACATTTTTTTCCCAACAAACAGCCCAAAATTGCCCATTTATCACCTTTCTGGCTGCTGCATGCCTCCACCAGTCCCACACTGAGCTCACCTACCACCAGCCTAGTGCTCTCTGCGTGTTTGACAGGAGTTGCGTGGTTACTTGCTTTTTAATACCTTAATTATAGCTGATTACCACTGCTATCCCCACCTCCTCAGTGCCATGACCTGCTCACACACCACCAGGAAAAGGCTTCTTCCTTCAGCACAGTGCCAGGGCCACCGGGACTCGCCTCCCAACCCATTTAGTGGTGGCGAGATGGGGATTAAACGGTGATTAAAAGGAGATGCTGTTTCTGATATCATGATAAATAGCGACCATATGTACTGGTAAATGGATACAAGTCCCTTTTACTGGTGGACCTGGAGGCTGGAGGGTTCTGCTTTGCAGGAAAGGGATGTCTGACGTGGGATGACTGCTGAAGGGTTACGCTGTCCAAAATGCCCCCATTGAAGCATCCTCCCACTCTGACTTGTCCCCCAGTGTTGCAGTCACCCCCGTCAGGACAAGGGTCCTTGAAATACCTGGGTGCCATTTACCCAAGGCATCTGGAGCCCACCGCTTTCAAAGGGTTATTTCTGGTAGAAAAGCCAGTACAGTGCCAGCTGCATGCCAGCCCTGGGGAGGTAGCTGGGTGCTTGAGGTCCTGGGGGACAGGAATGTCTTCCACTGCATCACTCAGCTGGGAGGGGAAGCTGCTCACCCCACAGCCGTCTGCAGTCCATTCCCATGGGAATGTTGGCCTTGCACACCCAAACAGGGCCAAATCCAGTGCCTTCTTCCAACAGGACACTTGTGCCTGTCCTGTCTGGTGGGAAAGTGCTGGGGCACTGCCACAGTGACCATCACCTGCCCTGTCAGCAGGGGTCCAAGTTCCCTCCCATTTCTCTCCTGCCTTCACTGTTGCGTGATCATGGTGAGCCCTCAACCCTTGCCCACTTTGGGGACCCTCCTCCTTCCATTCCCGGGGAAAATGACCCAAGCAGAGTGTGGGGAAGGGCTTGTGGGGCTATGGAGCCCCCTGGGCAGGTACATGCATGAGGAGGGGGGTCACCAGCCTAGCAAACTCCAGTTCTCCACCCATTATTATGAGCACTTCAATACTGTGGGGGGAGATTGGCAGCCTCACTGGCAAGGCCCCCCAGGGTGGCCAGGCTGTGCCAATGCCCTGACTCACGACACGCACGTACCCGCGCGGGGTAAAGCGATAGGAGGGGAGAGAGGATGCCGGAGCCCAAAATACCCTGGTGTGCCTGACACAGGAGATTATCGCTTTGCTGATGGGACGGTTGCCCAGCTTGGCTTGTCCTGGCTCCCTGCAAAGCACCAAAAACCCCCAAAATCTCTATCCTCACTTTTTCCCCTGCCACCCCATACCAACCACCCAACAGCAGTGAGAGGCTCAGGATTCCTGCTGCCCCAGCAGGGCCGCCGGTACTATTTCCAGCTGGTTACTTCCCAAACTCTGCTTTTTTTCTCAGCGTTAGAACCCAAACACATTGTATAGGGCCTGAGCGGTTTCAGAGGGCGGAGGTGGGTGGCACTGCGAGGGCTTGGCCTTATTTTCCCTCCAAGGGGGTTAAGGGGAAAAAAACAACCCCAAACCCAAGGAGGGTGTAAAAATAAAATAATAATAATAATAATAATAATAATAATAATAAAGATGACACACTGCTGAAAATTATGCATCTAATTGCTGCCTTGTTAGCAATGCACCCTTATGACGAGGCACAAAGTGTTTAGCATACAGTGTATGGTCATCCCCTACATGCGTATAACACACATGTAGCATGACACACGTGTGACCCACACCTCACCGGGGACCCTTCCACGCCGCTTCCCGGGGGGCTTCGGCCAGGACAGAGTATCGGTGTCCTTAACGGCCGGTGCCCGCCCCGCACGCTCCCGACGTACGGGCACAAGGCCCCTTTGTAACCCCGGGGATAAGCTGCAGCATGGGGACCCGGCGGAGGACCGGTGCGGGGGCAGCGCAACCCCGACGAGGCGGGAGCCTGGGCACCCGACGGTGAGAGTGGAAACACCTCGGCTGTGCCCCCTACACGCACACACCCCATCGAGGGCCGTCGGGCGGGAGCCCCGGGAGGAGGTACTGGACTGGTGCGACCCCGTCGACCCCAGCCATCCGCCAGGTCTAGGTGCAGGCGGAGGGCTACGGGCCGGGAGGAAGGAGGGGCTGGAGGAGGAGGCGGAGGAAGGGGGGTTGGGAGTCTCTTCCCGGCGAGCGCTTACCTGCTCCGTGCTCCGGAGGGCTGAGCCAGCCGCGGATGCCGGGATAGGGGCAGGGGCCGGACCAGGGCCGGGACCGGAGCCGGGGCCTGGCCGGAGAGGGCGACAGGAATGCAGGGAGCGCGGCGGGCTCCCGGGTCCACGCACAGAGCCAGGCGCAGGGACGGGAAAGTTCAGGCGAGGGAGGAGCAGAAACTTGGGAGTCAATCAGGAGGCGGCGGGGCCGGGCCGGGCCGGGCCTCCTCCTACCCCCCGCCCTCCTCCTACCCCCCGCCCTCCTCCTTCTCCCCCCTCCGCCCTCCTCCTCCTCCTCCTTCTCCTCCCGGCCCTTCCTGCCGGCCGACTTTCCCGACCTCCCCGTCGGGGCGGCGAGGACGCGGGACTTCCCTTCTGCAGGGAGTTTTTTTTGGGAAAGGGCAGCCCTGGAGCTCAGCTCGGCCCAGTCTCTAGGAGCGCTCTCTATGAACCTTCCTCACCTTCCTTCTCCTCTTCCTTCTACTCCGTGCGGCAGCCTCGTGGTGCGGCCCCGGGCTCGGGCCGGGGCTTGAGGGTGCTGCTGTCCCGTCCCGTCCCCAGCTGGCCAGGGCTCCCCGTGAACACCTTCATCCCCTTTTGCACATCTTCATCGCTTCTGTGCTCACCTTCATCCTGCTCTGCACATCTGTGCCCCCTTACACTCACCTTCGTCCCTGTGCTCACCTTCAATCCCCTTCATTGTCCTTTGCACACTCTAATGCCCTGCTGCACAACTTTGTCCTCATCCTTATTCCCATCTCACATCTTCAACCTCCTCCGAAGACCTTCATCCCTTTCCTCATCCTCACATACACACTCAGTCCCTTACATCCCACCAGACTGCAGATTCCCCATCTCTCCCAGACACCCACCCCATGGTGCCCAGAAGGGGGATCTCAGCCCACACTGTTGTAATTTCCCAAGGGAATTCATCCAGGAGCCAAGCTGTAATAGAAGGGTTAACTTTGTTCATAAAATCTTACGTGTATTAGGGAATAAGAAACTTTTGTTATAATTCAACAAGATAAGTTTTACAGACATCTTGCTAAACAAACAAGTGTCAGTATCGGTAGAATTTACAACAGATAAGAACTACAGCTTTCATCCCTGACAAACTCCAGAAGGCAGATAACCACCTAGCAACAAGCCAGGAACTCACAGCTACAACGCATTTGCATTCAAAACCTGGGACTTGAAAGTGTATAAAAAGGGACATTTACTACATTTTGATGTGTGTCTTGGGCAGAGAGAAGACTGACTCCCCAGACCACCCAATGCTGTTTTTTGCTTTATTATTGCTTGCTTAATAAATATATCAATGTTTAATTGGAATTGTCTAAATTCTTATACCAATTTATAACAAAGCCATGGTCATTTCCTCTGAGTGAGCTGATGGATGGAAACATGCTAAGCCACAGCCAGCTGATGGCATAAGAGTCCCTGGCCCAGCCCCACTGTCAGGAGCCACAGCCCCAGTAGGGGCAAAACCTCTGGTCCTGCCAGATGAAGATGTGCAGCACAGATCTTTGCTGTGGTACCCAAAACTCACAGAGAGGACTACTCCCATTGGCCTCGCTTGGAGAAGGGATGCTCTTTGCATCCCATCCCTTCTAGAAACATATTTTTCCAATTTTCATGATGAGTTTGGTTGTATTCAGGCATTTTGGGACAAGCCAACTCTTCAGCCCATGAAGTGACAGCATCCAGCACATTCAGCAATTGTGTGTGATTCATAAAGCCATATCGCATTCTTCCACCCTTGGCCTGGTGTTAACTTGTAAGAAATCTGGACCAAAAACTGTAACAAAATGGCTGCTATTCTCCAAGGGCTGTTCGGAGTCTCGTTACTCATCCCTTACTTGGGCAAAAATGACATTGAGTGCTCCTGCAGATGACAGCCTTAATTGAGTTCAATAGTAGTTTAGGCTGAGTAAGGCACGAGCAAACAAGTGTGCATTAGCCCATGAATAAAAGCCTGATCTGCAAATGTTTAGAAACACATGTAATGCTGCGCAGGGGAGTACCAAGGCAGTCACTGCTGCTCTGGGCCTGCCGAGCAGGCAGGGGTCTCACTTCAGTGTCCAATGCAACTGCTAGTGGTGCTGGGATGAGCTTGTTTTGGAGTGCAGTGATTTGAGACCAGCTCAGTGGTTTGTGTCTGTTCTGCTTCTTTTTTTCTCTCTCCTTCAGAAGTCCATAATCCATGTTTCTGCTTTTTTTTTTGTCCACTGGTGGGAACAGCAACTTCCTTTCCCAAATTATAATATAAAAGAGCTGCAAGCTGCAATGCCATAAATAATATTTTCTTATGGCCAGAACATCCAAGTCTAGGCAAGACACCAAGAACAGCTACAACATTGTAAAACTCCAACACTTCTCTAGAATAGATTCACTAATTAAAAAATTACTCCTTTTAAAAAGCAGTTGAAAAATATTGGCTTTCCCATGGCTGCCTGTTGCTTGCTGCACCAAGAAGGAGCCTATCCTGCAAAGCCACAGCCCAGCTTACCAGCAATAAGTCTGCCTTTCCCTCTAAAAAAATACCACCAAAAGAAATATAAGGGGAGGGGAAGGATAGAGAAGAGAAAAATACCTCATCACAATCACTTCTTTAATTAATTAATGTATCACCACTTCAAAGCTGGAAAGCCCCCAGGGTTCAGACACTGTTCTTTGCTAGGGAAGTTGCTGGGAACCAAACAGCTCCAGCCCTTCCATTGCTGGACAAGGAGTTTCCCAGTGCTGGCCTCCGCTCCCACACCTGCTGAGATGCACCAACCCTTTCCTTTTTCAGTTGCCTGCCCTATTGGACATTTGCCTTATGGAAAATATCTGTCAGGCCCCCAAAGAGTGCAGGGGTTAAGCCTTTGCTCAGGGCTGGGTATATGGAGCCCACTGAGCCCCAGAGGTCTGGGGAAAGGGGAGTAGCAAGTGACTGGAGAAGAACCTCCCACATCCATCTTCCTGATGAGCTCTAGTTGAGCATCTTTCCACTCATGAACATGGGATGGGGATGCCAGCAACCACTGCCTGAGAGAGTCAATGACACCACAGCAACACTGGTCCTAATTGGGACACGTGCTCAGCATTGAAGTAGGGCCTTATTTTTTTCCTTCCCTTTGCCTTATAAGCATCTCTGCAAAAATAAAATGCATTTCCTAGGAGGTTCTCTTGAGGAGCTGATGACAGTCGCCCCTGGCCATGCTTGTGCCCTTGCACCAGCGCTTTCTGGGGTTAAAAATACATCCCTGTAGCACCAGCCTAACACCAGCACCCTAAAAATGAAGCTTCAGAAACCTCAAAGTCTCACACTGCAGGGAAAATATTATCCCTGGGGATTGACAAAACCCTATCTCCAAGGAAGACACACACTTTGGGCTCAAACACTATTGATAAAGGCTTTCCTCTTTTTTTTTCCCTCTTTTCTTGCAGAGAGAATTCCTTTCACACCCACGCACACCCCAGCACCCTCAGCCATTGGTTTTCTGGTGCATCCGTCACACTTTCCGCCGGCCAAAGTAGATACACATTTCAACTGCTTCCATCCCTCCTCTCCTCTGGTGTTAACAGCCAGCGCAAACAAAGGGCCCGAATATCCATCGCCCTCTTAAATTGTTTTCATTTGTTTCTTGTGCTGCAGTTGGTTTGCATTAGAGGGTTTGTGTAAGGGATTTGGGGTGGGCAACTGATGCAGTGACAGCTCTGAGATGGGGTGACATTGTGTTGGATAGCCTAGGCAGATATTTTACTCTGCTTAGGCTACAGGAAACCTGAGGGATTTGCAAGCAACAACGGGCAAAATGGAGACTTTTTGGATGAGGGGAGGGAGAATCATCCTGGGGAGCAGCTGGGATAGCAGCAGCTTGTGCTCCAGCCAGAACCTGGGGAGCCCAAACCCCTCTCTCTCACTCTGCTGCTTCTTTTCTGCCTCTACTGGAGGAAACAGGGACAAGTGTTGGCTCAACCATCAGCTGAGCTTGTCCTAGTTTCAAACAGATGTTGGGTTCATGGCTAGATTTGGGCAGAAAGCTCTTGCTTTCCCCGCATTTGCTGGCCATACCTCATGGGGCATGCTGGCCCTGAACTGCTGTGGCTGATTCTCCCTTTAGCTCACAAGACGATCTCTGATTTCACTGCATGGGTAATGGACAATGTCCCATGCCAGCCTGTTGTCCCCCAAGCTGTCCACCTCCCTTGGCCCTTGCCATGAGTGTCTGCTGATGAATCATGGAGCCCAGATTAATGCAGCTGGTGGGAAAATCTCCACTGTCATCTGCAAAGCTACTGGGGCAAGATGTTCAGTAGCAGTCCAGCAGCAGTTCATACTTCCACTGTCACTGTCATCTGTCCTTAGCTCCACAGAGAGACGAGTTTGGGCCATGTTGGTGTTGCAACACTGCCCAGTGAGGATGAGCATCCCTCTTGCATAACTGCATCTGTCTCATCCATCTACTACTCCTCAGCCCAACTGCTCCAGCTACCTCTCAGATGCATTAACTTGAGGGGCTCAGATCACCTCCAGAATGGGGGAACAACCTATATGTGTCCTGGGAAACAAAGCCCAAATTGTCCTGGGGTCAGTGCATTAGCTGAGCTGGTAAGAGAAACAACTCAGGCAGCTGAGGATGGTGTTTCAGGGGACCTTGGCATGTCCCCGTGTTTCTTACCACTGAATTAATCAGGTTGGGGACTGTCTTTGAAGCCAAATCCTCACTCCATAAAGGTGGGATTGTACTGGAAAGAGGAGCATGGGCTGATCTGCTCCCATTGAGCTAACCCCTCTCCAGCATCTCCCCTTCCCCCTGTCTCCCCGTAGCTCCCCATGACACCCCACCAGTCTGAGACAGGGGGTGGCACCTTCTGGCCACCACCTTCCCATGAACAAGGAGCACCAGTGGGGACACCTGCGATGTGTGGGGTCTGGAGGGATGTTGCAGAGTGTAGGGGCAGTGAGTGGAAGAGGCACAGGGGGTTTGGCAGGGCCTGTCTGGGTGCTGAGTGTGACTCAGCACCACACCACACCTCATGAGTCACTCCATTGCTTCCTGGTGCACCCTCAGTTTTCTCTTCCAGGTCCCTCCTGAAGAACTGACCCAGCTGGGCCCCCTGCCAACAATGCCAACTCTGCCTCACGTGGCTGCCAGCCCTCCTCCGTTGGCACCACCATTCCTCAGCACGTGCCTACAGGCTGCCAGTGCTCTGAGTGCCGGGCTGCTTCTCAGGGACCTTAATCCCCAACAGTTTCTGGGCAGCAGGGTGAGACCTGGCAGGTGAAAAGATACCATGGGCACTGGGTATCCACTCACACCAGGACAAAATGGGGCAAAACAGGGGCTTTGTGCCCAGTGGGCATCGAGCCAGGATGGGGGTCTCTAGCTGGGAACTTGGGCAGAGCCCACCTACACGGGGCCTCGGTGCAGACTCACAGAGGGATGAAGAAACACAAAGCAAGGAGACCACCTACCTCCTCTCACTGGGGAACTGAGCATAAAAATACAAATCAGAATCTAAAAAAATAAAAGGAGGGGATGAGTTTCCAGGATCTGAGTCCAAGAAACATCTCAAAGGGATGAGGTAGGGATCATAGTCAGCCTCATCTGCTAAATATACCTCAGGCTTGACTCTGCCATCACCCCAGACCAGCGATCTGTCCTGAATTTGCCCAGAGAGGGTGGCTGCGGCTGGATGAGCATCCCATGGTGCTTGGCAAGCACCGTGCTCTGTGAACCACCCCAGGAGCAACTGTGAGCACGCACTGGACAGAAGGTGGAAATGCAGGGAAAGGAACAGGACAGGGATGCAGGAGCATCTGCCAGGCACTGGCAGGTGGTCCCAGTGGTCCCGGCAGGCCCAGTGCAGGTGCTACTCGCAGGCCAGCTTCCCATCAAAGCTGGAGAGGGCGATGGCAAAGGCCTGCACAGCACAGAGAGGGTAGTTGTAGTCCATGGTGAAGGCATCATCCGCCACACGCCCAAACTGCATCACGATGTAGTCGGCTGTGGGAAAGAGGGTGAGCAACTGGAATGTCACCTGTGCACCCATCCTGCCTTTTCCCAGGGCACCCATGCAGCAGCATCTGAAAGAAGCTGCCCACCCCCCAGCCCCAAGCTCTGCCTGCAACTCCCAGACTGGCTGTGCCGTACTGCAACACATGTTATCAAAAAGCATCATTTTCCCATTACACAATCCAGCACACAGACCATGGCACCCTCTACTCCCTCCCTGGGAGTCACAGCCCCCCAAGGGGCTCATACTCCCACCCCCTGACTGTAGGACTGCTGCTACTGGAGGGCGGGTGACAGGAAATCTGTAAAAATAACCGGGGGCCCTCAAGAGGTTTTTTCTGTCCAGTAACCCAACACCCCGGAGGCTGAGAGCTTCTGACTGTACCAGACAGGTGACAAGTGGCCACATCCAGACAGAGCTGCTGCCACCCCTGAGGGACTGTCCCCAAGGTACAGTGCAGCTTGGGCTGAGCCCACTGGTGATCTGGGATGTGTGCTGGGTCTAAAGCTCTGGGGTGTTCTGAGTTGAGTAGGTGGTTGTAGTGTGATGGGGGCCTCAGCACCCTGTAGGATCTGTCCTTGCCCTAATCTCTGTGGCAACAGGAGCCCTGCACAATGCCTCTGCCAGTGCTGTGGCCTGAGGGCAGCTCCTGCACAATGCTGTTCTCCCTGTCTGGCTTCATCCCAGCTCCAGCAAAGTCAGGCAGGACCCCAAAGCATAAAAAAAATAAACCTTAGCAAAAAAAGTGGGTGCTGGGGCCAGTTTAAGAGTTAGTGCCTCCCCACCCCATCCCCCTGTCCCATCCCACCCCTCTTCCCAGCTTACGGTCGCTGCCATGAACAATCTGAAAATTTTTGACAGAGGCATGGGTGACCCGGCCATGGAAGTTGAGGACATAGGATTGAGTCTCATCGTTCCACACTGGTGCCTTGTTGTGCAGCTCAATTACATTGTCCATGTTTCTGTTCTGCCATCGCATCAGGAGGCCGTCGTTATCCTGGGGAGGGGCAAGAGCAGGGAGAGCGGGGTTAGGGCAACTTCCCCCAGCGCCCTGGCACCCTCTGTGGAGTGCCTGGGGGGATGCTCTGTAGCAGTACCCACATGGAAATGGAATCTGTCACAGAGAAAAAAATACAGACACTGTGTCTCCCCCCTCCCAGGTAAGTGCCTTGAATTTCAGGGACACCTGAAAGCCTCTTCATGCTCCAAACTGGTAAAATCTAAGGTGATCCCTGGCAAACCCAGCCCCCAAGGAGTTTTGCCCAGCCTGGCCCCTGACTTACATTTCGGGGACGGATGGGCACCCTCTCACCGTCAGCATTCATCCCAGGGATGATGACTGTCATCTTCCGGGGACCTTTGAAGCCTAAAACATTGGTCTCCTGCAAGAGAAACCCTGTCTCTAAAACCAGCAACCACCACGGGCTGCAGCCTCTCATGGGGGCTGAACAAGGACTCAGGGATGGCTCCAGCCCATCCCACATCTCTGTAACTCCCCTGGGGCAGCACTCAGAATGGGTGCAGGTTGGGACCCCCTCGCTGCCTGCCCGGGAGCTCCAGGGGGGCTTCCCGTGCTGCTGCTTACATAGACCACGGCCGAAAGCTCCTGCCGCACATTGGACCAGTCAGCATTGGCTCTGTCGGGGTTTGCACCATTGTCGAACACTGTGAACCTCGTACCCATCAGGTTGGATCTGCAGCCAAGGATGAGAGATGGTTGTGGCTGATGCCACTGAGTCCACTACAGCCCTCCTCTGACCCCTCTCCAGGCACAGCCTTTGCTTTGGTCTAGCTGCAAATCCCTGATGCAGCCCCCAGCCAGTGCCGTCCTTCCCACTCCTTAGTCATTTGCTGTGGTTCAAGGCACCCTTAAATCAGGGTGTTACAGGGTGTTGCCACTACAGGGATCCCCCAGCACTGCTGTGTGGTTGCTGGTGATACAGTGGGCTTGGACTTGCTGGGTGCCTTTTCTAGCCATGACCTGTCTGCTGGGAGGAAACAGACAAGCCTGTTTTCCCTCTCAGCCCCCTGCCCCTCCTCAGGTCAGACCCAGCAGTGGGAAATGCTGAATTTAGCCTCCTGTCTGACCCAGCCATTGCTTGGGGCAGCCCATAATCCATGGGTGGGAATAGGGTGCTGCAGAAATGGGATGCCACCTCTGCTCCTACCTCAGCTTCCCGATGAAGTTCTCTCCTCCCCGTGACAGGTCAGTGGGGTCGATGGAGATGAGGTAGTTGGAGGTTTTGCTCTTCTTACGCTTCCTCCCAGCAAGGAGGAACACCTGGTAGAGCAGTTGGACCATGTGACGATTGGACACTGTCACTGCCATTGACACTGCTGTCCCTGGCTCACCCCCCAACAGGTCACTGCCATGACCTTGAGCAAGTCATGGAGTGAAGAAACACTAACTGTATTTGGCATACTGCACTGCCATAGGGCAAGAGGGGCTGAGCCCAGCTCAGCATTAGCATGGCTCTCTAGCCGATGCTAGGTCATCATCCCGGGTACCATCAACGGAGGGTATTTCCCAAGAGGAATTGCAGGAGAGGGAAGCACCCCATACAGAACCCACCACCACAGTGGGATACAGGCGAGCATCTCCCCAAAACCCTGAGAGTGCTCCCCAGGTCAGATGCAGGGCCCCATGAGTCTCCATGCCCTCACCCTAACTAACCTTCTTGTCATTATCCAAATGAAGGTAATAGGTGGGGTAAAGTCCCCGGTCCATCCCCTTCTTGTCCCGTGTCACCCGGCACTTGATAGTCACCCCCTGCGGTGCCGGCTGCAGCACGAACTCCTCCAGGTTGTCGACCTCAATGACAGGTGATGGGGGCCTCTCCTCCTTCAGCTGCTTCATAAGAGGGGATGGTGACCCCAAAGTCAAACCTGCTGAAAGCCCCCTCTCCTTTCCTGACTAATTGCTCCTTGCTTCCACTCCCCCCTGGGCTGTGGCCCTGCAGCTGATGGCTTTGGGGATGGTGCTGCAGTGGGTCTTGCTGGGGGATGCTGCTTACCCTGGGTGGAAGAGCTGCTCTTCCCCCCCCCACCCCAAGGGGGGCCCCATGGCTCTGAGGGGTCCTTTGTACCTTCTTTGATTTCTTTGTTTTCCCCTTCTTGTTGGAGTTTTTCTGCAGGGTTTCCAGGGTCTCCTCCTCACTCTCAGTCCCTTTGGGAGGAACTGCAGGCAGGAACAGGCAAGGGCACAGAAGGGGGAAGATCCTGACTCTGCTGAGCCCCAAAATCAAGCTTGGCATAGACAGATGCCAACACCATTGATCATAACCCCCATCCTTCATGACCAAGCTCACCTGCACTCCCAGAAGCCCCTCCAGCACATACCACCCTCCATCACCGGTGACGGGCTCTCACCTTTCTTTTTGGATTTTTTCTCCTTGGGGGGATCCCCACCAGTCTGGAAGAGGGATGCTGGGTTTTTCTTCTTCTCTGACCTGATAGGTTTGGTGCTGGAGTCGGAATCATCCTCCTCATCACTGCTGGTGGTGGCTGTGAGGGAGATGGGGGACACGGTCATGCAGCACTGGGTGCTGTTGGCTCTGGGTGATGCTGTTGGGCAGCAGGACTGGATGCCTCCCCCTCCTGCTCACCCCGTACCTTTCTTCTTGGTTTTCTTCTCCTTCTTCACCTGAAACATGGACATTTGCTCCTTCTTGGTGCTTTTGGCAGATTTGGCTTTGCTGTCAGGGTCACTCTTGTCTCCTGGTGGGACAGAGGAGCTGATGAGCAGCCAGAACAGGCAGTGATGGGGACAGGGAGGCAGCAAGGTGGAGGCAGCAGGAAGGGCTGGGCTGGGGGCAGATTGAATGGGCAGGGGGCGATTGCTCCGCAGTACCTTGAGCCTGCCGGGACAGGGGTGGGAAGAGGATGCAGGCAGTTCCCTCATCCCAGTGAGGACAGATGCAAGTAACGACAGAACTGGGCTTAAGCCATCCCTGCCCCTGGATACTCACCCTTCGGCTTCAGCTTCTTCTCCCGGCTGTCTCCTGAGGAAGGGTCTTTAGGAAGCTTCTTTTTGAGCTTTTTTGGCGGGTCTTTATTCTCCACCTCCTCTTCCTCCTCATCCTCGGCCAGCTCTGCCCAGAGGTGAAACCACAGCATCAGCAACGCAATGTCCTCTTGCAGCGGGGACCCCCAGCCTCGTGGTTTGCGAGGACGGATCCTCTCGCGACAACACCGGCCGGAACGGACATTCGTCCTGTCCCAGCCGGGGTGCGGGGCCGTGGGTCTCGTCCTGTCCCGTCCGCGGTGCCCAGCTGCGCGTGGGACGTGTCCGGTGCTGGACGGTGCCGGCGCAGTCCCAGCGCCCTCTCGCGGCTGCAGCCCCGGGTGGAGAGGAGAGGGTCAAGCTCCATCTTTTCCCTCCAGGAAGGTGGCTGGGGACCTGATGGCACTGGCAAGCCGCCAACTGCCACAATCCCAGGGAATGTGCCACTCCTCCCCCCCCCACCCCGCCTCCCCTCGGTCCCAAATCCCTAGCCAAGGCCATGAGTGCAGGTCCCTTGCCACATCCCCATTCCTCCAAGGTCTGTAGCTGGGTTTTGGCCAAAAAACTCTGCCAGGGATGTGCAGAAGCCCAGCAGACACCAGAAGCATCAACAGCTCTGGTGGGACATGGTGCATGGAGACATGAGGTGCCACGAGCCTGCAGAGAGGTGGGTGCTGTCCCCACACCTTGCTGCTTCCTGGGGCCCTTGGACACATGGGAGCGAGGCGCTGGGCTTTCCTTCTTCTTCCGAGGCTCCCTGGTGAATTTGGAATAGGGGTCCTTGTCGCTCTCCTCCTCTCCCTTCTCCTCCTTCTTCTTCCTCAGCTTCTTCACCCCTGCACATTTCAAGAGATGCCCGTGATGGATGGCAGATGCAGGAATGGGGCCACGGCAGGTTTGCGGGGGGAGGGTGTGGTGGGGCGGGGGGTGGAGGGGAGCAGTATGTCCTCCCATTTCCAAGGAAGCTGTGGTGATCTGTGCTCACCCTGTGCTGGGGCATGTGGCTCCTCGACAGCCCCTGCCTCACCCGGCTTCTTCACTCGCAGCCGCCTTGGCTTGGCCTCAGGCTCCAGTCCAGGTTCCTGCCTCTTCTTCTTCAGCTTCTGCCCCCACAGATGGTGCTGCAGAGGTGGTGCTGGCCTTAAACCTCTTTTCCCTTTGCAAGGCAACCCCTGCTCATACAGCACCAGCTCCCTTTTGGAAGTACAGCCATGCTTTTCCCTGGCCCAGAATGGAAGCAAGGACCCGCTGTGGGGTAGGGACGCACACTTTCAAATGAGTGACTTACCATGGGGCAACCCCCCAAAGAAGGCATAGGAAGGAAAACAGAAAGGACTGTTAGCAGACAGACAGAAGAGCATCCACCCTGGGACAGGCAGCCATGTGCCAGCCCCGGAGACAAGGGATTGACAAGTGGTGCTGACACTGCCCTGACACCATGGACCATGTCAGCACAGAAGAACAAGCCACACTGTGCCACAGGGACCCTGGCTGAGAGCCACTCTGGGCACTGATGGGCACTCTGGGTACCTGAGCTGCGACAGGGTATGTGAGGAAGGGCAGACAGCCTTGCTCCTCACCTCCATCTCTCACCCCAGCAAAAGGAACTGCAGGGCCTTGCTGGGATGGAGGTCAGCAGGAGCAAGGAAGCAGGAGGATTAGACACAGCATACCTAATCCCAGCTAGCTGGAGCTATAAATAACCCTGATTTACCAAATACAGAGCATGTGGATCAGCACTTGGCTCTGGAAAGGAGGTATTTGGGGAGTGGGTGTCAGTTCAGGGCCCTCAGAAAGCAATCTAAGCAAATCCAGATGGACTAGAGCTTTCCCTATCCAAGAGAACATCTTCCCCCTCTTAGGGATTTTGTTCCTCCCAGATGCTCCAGTGCAGTGGGTGAAGGTGTTTTGCAAAAGGTGTGATCCAGGCAGATCCCAGTGGGATCCCAGGACTGCAAATTTGGGGAGGGGGAGCTGGGAGTCCCACGGTGAAGCTGGGAACCAGCTGTTTTTTTCCATGTCAGCAGCTCACACTGAAAAGCTCTTTCACATCCCCTAATCCCTTAAGGAGCTGCAGGGAGGAGAGCCACTCGTTACTTAACGAAGCCCTTTGGGGAGGGGCTGTTGATTAAATTGGATGATGGATGAAATTGCTGCTGAGACCCCTCCAAGGCTGGGTGGTACGTGAGGGCTGTGCCGAAATGCAAGGAGGAGGTCTGGCTTTCAGGGTCACAGCCTGGGGAAAGTGAGTCACAGCTGAGAGCTTAATTGAGGGGCTTAATTAAAGTGTTAACTAGGAACTAGGAAACCCCCGTATGGGGTGCTTCAAAGTGATGGAAAGGGGGTTCAGAAGGATGCCTAAAGGAGAAGGGAGGGCTGTGGGATTTTCTCTACCCACCTGCTCTGAAGGGGGTTCCCAAAACCTTCATGCCCTCCTAGGTGGCAGCACCCCAATAGAGAGCCCAGCCAGCCCCTAGTCAGCCTTGGTGTGGGGCCCCAGGGTTTCAGGGTCTCTGATGACCCCAGACCTTGAGGACAGCCCACAGCAGGGAATGGTAGCACACAGAATTGAGGGGAATGATTTTTTCTCACCTGTTTGGGCTTCTGCTGCTGGGGACTTCCCGGCTCCTCACTGGGACTGTGGGGCACAGAAAGCAAAGCGGTGAGGGTTTTCAGACCTCCACAGACCCTGGGGAGCATGAGACTGCCCCAATTTTTGGTGAAGGGGGAAAGCTCAGTCTTTCATGTGACTCCAGAAGCATTTCCCCCACCTCGACTGAGTCAAGCTTGTCCGACATCATTCTTCCTAGCAGGGAGCACAGGACAGGCTCTGACTTGGCCAAGGGTGACAGCAAGGGGATCCCCCTCTAACAAACCCTTTTCCTCTCTGTAAGTCAATGAGCATCATCACACCAATCCCCGAAGTAAAAAGGCTGTGATAAAACTGCTCATTAAATTGCATTTAAATTGAAAATAGGAGAAAAAGCACTGGAGGAGATGGGAGTCTGGTGGGGACAGCCAGCACATTATCCAGTGTGGGGATGTAACCAGCACAGGTCACATCCTGCCCAGTGGCACTCACCTGTCTGCAGCCCAGACCTCACGCAGTATCTCCGTCTGCAGCGGCATTGCTTCCTCTGTCCTGCCCCGATTGCCTTCCTTTCTCTCTGGCACCAGCTGCTGACCTTCTGGTCCTCCAACCCCTACCAGCCCAGGACCAGATTCATGAGGTCATTCACAGCCACAATAGTCCAAGTGCTCTTACAGCATTGGCTCAGCCACCTCCACAAGCCTCTGCGGTGGGAGGAGGAGAAGGAGGAGGAGGAGGAAGAGCAGGTGAAGCAGATAATTAACTTTATTTCTCTTGAAACTCAGTTAATAGGATTTCAGGGGCTGTCAGCCAGGCTTGCTGGGAGAGCAGCTGGCAGGGTAATAATCACAGGACAAGGGGGCTCTGCAGGAATGCAGGGGTTGCAGAGCTCCTCCCTTGCTGGATGGGGTCCCAACACAGCAGAGCCACTCACTACAGTCCAGTGTGGGCAGAGGAATGCTGTCTGACTGTATTTAGGGTTATCCACCCTGGATATTCTTTTTTTTTCCCAACCAAAAAGTCTTCTTGGTGAGAGAACAGCAGGAATTGGACTGTTTGGTGTGAGTTGTGCCTGGAAAGCCCATGCAGGGGAAGGCAACATCCCTGGCTCCAGGCGGTGCTAAGGGTTTCCATACGGCCCACCGCTCTCCATCAACCCCTGCCCATGTTCCCAGGTATCTTTGGGTGATGAGATTCATCCCCTGCAGCTCACACCTCACCTCGTTATTACGCCATTTAATATTTAGTTCTTAATATTCCCCTCAAAGGCCCCCGCGGATGCTGTTTGGTTGCAAAGACAGACAAGCCAAGTGTCCCCACCGGACCCCTGGCCTTGCCCCGCCCACCACAGTCACCCCAAAACATCCGCCACGCCGTGCCCGGTGCCACTAGATGGCACTTGAGCACCGCACACCGAGACCCACCAGCACCTCAAACTTTCGATGCCTCTGTACAAAATCCTCCTGGTTTCCCTTTAATCTCTAAACCATATCACATCACCCACATAAGTTTAATTTCTCTTCCAAGAGATAGAAAAACACCAAGCTAAAATACACCAGAAGTCTCCTTGAAAACGGGAAGCAAGTCCAGAAACCGCAAAGTGATGGGGGTTTTTTCTGTAGAGATTGTTTCCTGTGGACAATGTGGTTTGGGCTGCCCCCAAAGGACTTTTTGCCCGTCCAATAAAAAAAAAAAAAAAAAAAATGTTTTGCAGAGATCCTGGGTCTCACAGCACCTTCCCTGGGCAGCACCTCCAGGGATGCTTTGCTGGCTCTAGGACATCCCAGGGTGGTGAAAAACCCAAGACCTGGATGAGCAACTGGAGCAGCAGACCCTCAAAGAGCATCCCCTAGCCAGGAGTTTTCGAAGCACAGCATGCTGGCCCTTCACTGGCTCTCCAGTGAATGATGGCACTGATGAAAAGGGGTAGCAGCATCAGATTTTGGAGACAGCAATAATTTCTTAATTGCTGGGGCATCTCCACCTGGAGTACACACCTATCCTCCCCACAGCCACTCCCTTTGCTGAGCAGGATCCAGAGAAAAGTACTTCTTTTTTTTCTTTCAGTTGTTTATTTTCAAGCTCTAAAAGGTATATTACAAAGAGACAGGAAAAATAACAACTGGAAAGCTGTTCTCACACAGAAGTGACAGCATCCCTTTGGGATGGAGAGGGTTGATGGCTGAGGAGGCAGCAGCACCGGTACAAGGACACGATGCACTCGGGACCTCCTCACCATGGGAAAGCAGTTCACTGACAAGCTACAAACCCATGGGAAGCTCAGAGCCAGTCACTTGCCTTCTGAACCACATGTCAACCTGTTATTTTCTCTAGGTATGGATCCCAGATAAGCAATAAGACTCCCATTTGAAGTCGGGAGCCAAGAGATGGGGTGCAGACTGCGGGCTGAGCGCCTGTGAACCTGGATAGGCTTTTATTCTCTAAAGAAATAGAAATCAGCTTCTTCAGAAGATAAAATCTCTGTGTGTCCCCTTCCCCAAACAGTGCTTGACAAATTATATCCCTGCACTGAGGGGCTGCAGTGGAGGTGATGTGGGTCCTCACACTGAGCCTGGCTCCACTTTGCAACCCCTTTTGCCACAGGCAACAATTCAGCAGGAGAGAAAGCCAACCACCATGGGTGAGTGAGTCCCAGGGGCCATGCCGTCAGCCAGCCCTGGGCTCCCACCATGCCCATGACTCAGCACTGCCCTGCACGCTCAGGGCTGGTGCCGGGGCTGTGCAGCCTGGTCATGGGCCAGATACAACCAGAGGCAGCACTGCAGTGTACAAGGAGCATGTCCCACATCCCAGCGCATCTCAGAGGACCCGGGATGCGGTGCTGACAGTGGATATAAAGCCAAGGGAGCTGGGAAAAGCTGTCTATGAAAACCTCCCAAGAGCTAAGAGTTTTAATTTATTATTTTTTTCTTTTTCTTGCTCTTTAAAAGCTATTTGTTCCACGTGCGGTGGTCCCTTGGCATCCCGCCACTCCTGGTCTGTCCACGAGCGCATCCAGGCGGTAGGACGGGGTTTGTTTTTCTTTGCGAGGCGCTTTTTGCTTCCACAATCACACAAACTGTAACAAGCTTTACAAGAAAACACTGGCAAGTTCCGAGGTTTGGCAGAAACCTTTTTCTGTGCGGCCCGAGGGCAGGAGGCTCTCCCATCCCCTCCTCCTCCATCATACATGTCCTTCAGCCTCTTCATCTTCAGCACCAGGAGTTTTCAGTCCTTTTTCACAAGCTGCCTTCTCTGCTGCTCTTCCCACCCTGCTTTTGCTAGCTGCTTCCTGCCAAACAGCAAATAAAGCACAGTGAGTTGGAAACAGGAAAAGGAAGAAGCAAGCAGGTGACAGTGATACTGGGGATAGGCAGAGGCGGTCAAGCCTGGAAGGGCAGGCAGAATTGTCCCCCACAGCTCCCCCATGCTTATCAAATACCGCAGCCTACACCAGAGGGTCCTGTTTCTCAGTGGCTGGTAGAGGCTAAACCTTACCAGCTCAGCCAGCTTTTGGGGAAGGTATGGGCCCCTGGGAATGATGTGACCCACCTCAACAGAAGCAGAGCACTGACATGGAGTGAGCCTGGACATATGGATGCAGAGGCACAGAAGAGAGGGACAAGGAGGTAAGGCAGCAGCACTGGAGTGGTCACAGGTGCAGCCTGTCCACCCAGCTGGAGGTGTAGCATGTACAGCTGGTCAAGGTGCAGCCCACCCACCCAACTGTGGGAGCAACCTATCCAGTGGGTGCAGGAGAGGAGTACTAAGGCATGGTGAAATCTTATACCTGCTCCAGCAGTGCCTTTTCCTATCACAACCAGCTGCACAAGCCAACCACAGTGCCAGCAGCTGGCCAGGGCAGCTCCACTCCCCGCCCAAGCCAGTTGCCCTAGCATGCTGCTCCCCAGAGTCTGCACTGGTCACTTAATCCACAGCCTCAACCTTCAGGCACCAGTTCAGAAGAGCTTATACTAAAAATGACCCACACAGATAGCTTGCAAAGCTGTGTCCTCTCTCGTTACAGTACACTGGGTTTCCAGTGGAATTTTGGATGAGAGCCTGTTATGAGACAGCGATCTCTCCATATGAGCAGAGGAGCAGGCTATTGCCTTACCAACTTCAGGAAATCCACACTATCATGTCTCAAAATGGCCTTGTCAGAGATGGAATGATACTTCATTTTACTGGTGACCAGGAGTTCATCAACACTCACTAGCTGGGAACAGCAAAATTAAATACCAATGCTGACCCTTTTATCAGCCCACGTGAGCTCACATTGCAAATCTTTTTATTGATGACGGAGCATCTGATGGCAGCCTCTGCACAAGAGAGACCAAGAAGTAAAATGCTTCCTCTCGTTGCATCAGGTTCTATCCCTCCATCCTCAGCCTGATCTATAATTTAACTTGGTTTAACCCATCTCTTCTCAACACAAGCCTGACAAGCATCCCTCAGTGCAGCCTGCTACATGGCCAAAAATGGGCAACAGTCACCTTTGCATCCCTCTCTGCAAACTTTGTGAACATGTTTGCGTAGATCCTCCGGTCTCGGTCATTGTGCTCCTTCGTTTTCTTCTGGCACACAGAGATCTGAGATTTTGCTGCTTTGTTCTGTGGATTCACTTCCAGCACTTTTTGAAAGTCACACTTTGCCAGCTCGAACTCATTCATCAATAACCTGGCTTCACCCCTCCGGTACAAGCCCTTCTCATTGTCCTGATCCAGTCCCAGTGCCTGGAAACACACAAGTCCCCTTAGCACCCTGGAGCTCCCCCAAAAAATTTAATGGTCAAAGCCTCACTAAATCTGTCAAAATTAGGACAAGGTGGTTTCAAGTCTCCAGAGCACTTGCATCTTGCTCAACAAAATTTGCCTCATCTCCATCAGCAGATGGCAGATCATTAATATAGATTTTTATTTCTCCTTGCATAAAATAACCCTGAGTGTGACAGTCAGTGGGAGACAAATCCACAGGCAAGAAATCAGGTGTAAACACTTAAACCCAAGCCCTTTTGTCTCCCTGTTTTAGCAAAGACATTATTTTCCTTTAGTAAAAGCCATCTATGCACCTCAGACATGATTTACTTGTTAGATTACGACAACTAGCTTTATTAGCTTTCTCACATGCAAGATGCTTAAATTTAAGCCTTTTATAAAAGAATTTAGATTACCTGACAAAGACAAGGTCAAAGATCTTTTAGGGACTGGCAAAGCTCCATCCCACCCCTCAGCTGGCTTGGAGATCCACTGCAGCTCCACAGAGCCTACCTCTGTCACACCCAGAGAAGAACCCAGTGCCCAGACCCAGTCTAAGAAAATCTAAACAGCACCTCAAGGCTGTCAGTCTACACAGATCCAGTCTCATGGATCTGGCTTAGGAAGAAAAGCTGTTGTAAACACATGCCCAGGTGGATTTTGAACCCCAAAAGGCACTTTTGGTCCTAAGCACACAGCATCCATGAAGACTTCGAGGTGCGGAAGGGGCATCATGCCATCATCCCACTGCTGTTTGGAAATTCCTTCTTATATGAAAAGAACTCAAAAAAATCCTAATAAACTCCCATTGAAAACAAGCAGGAGAAGAGGATGCTCCATCCCCACGGCTCATGCACCCCTACCTTATCACAGCACTCGACAGCTTTGGCATACTCTCGCAGCTTCAGGTAGCACATGGCCAAGTTGAGAAAAGCAGCCAAGAGGAAGGAGTCAGAGGCTTTCGACTCTTTTTCGGACAAGCCATACTCCATTTCCAGCCAGGACACAATCTTCCCATACTGAATCACTGCCTGCAGGTACTTGCCTTCCTGGAATGGAGCAAAGAAGAGGCTAGAGGAACCCAAGCGACAACGCTCAGTCTGTTCCCGGAACATCTCGCAACAGGTTACAAGTGTAATGTGGTGTGTTCGATAAATAAAAGAAGGATGATGCTGAACACCTACAAAAACAGCAGACTTGGGAAAAGCCAAGTCAGAGCAGTGGGGAGGACTGGGATGCCCCAGCTGCAACGGGGAACTCCAAAGACTCTCAGCATTAGCCCTGTCCCAGGAAGGGTTCAATCTGCTGTCCTGCTCTTCAGGGAGCACACACAGCCAAGGCAACACTGGGAAAGGAGGAGATGTCTCAGGGAGCATCGAGGAGTGAGAAGAAGACAGAGGGAGGGCAGGACTCGCCTTCCCCAGCACTGTCTGGGGGCGCATGGCTTCTCTAACACTGACGGCTGCCAAGTTATGTATCTGATGTCACCCCAAAATAATTTCCAGCTCCCTTCCTTCACCTCTGCCATCCCCCAGTTCACAAACCTTGAAGTACATCGTGCCTTTCTCCTTGACGACGGCAGCCTGCTCCAGCTTCTCTTTGGTGTCCATCTCCCACGACTCCTTGGCCTGCAAACGAATGCTTGGAGCACTCCCAGGGGAGTGCAGCAGCACCCCTCCCCCAGCAGGACCACACCACTCTCTGGGACAGCCTGTTCATGCTCAGGGCTCACCAGGGCCATATCCAGAGCAAGGAGCCAGCTCTGCTCTTATTGCAGCCAGGGTGATGGCAGGGGCAGGGGACCCATGTAGGGATGTGGCACAGCAGCACCTGCCCCATCCCATGGGCTTCTCCTGCATCCCATTCTCAGGCTCACAGGCACAGCCAAGCTCCTCAGGGCTAGCTGGCTGGATGCACCAGCTCTTATCTGTGCAGCCGAGGGAAAAAAAGGGGAGAAAAAAAGGGGAAGAAAATAAAAGAAAAAAAGAAACAAGAAGAAAAAAAAAGAAAAAAAGGAGAAAAAAAGGAGAGAAAAGAGGAGAAAATGAAAAAAGGAAAAAGGAAAAGAAGAAGGAAAAATAAAAGAAAAAAACAGTACAAAAGGACAAGCCTAGAAACAAATAAGAGACCTAGCCTTGGATCCCAGCCACAAGAATAAAACAAATCAACAGAGAAGAACAAATTAAGAACACAAAGCTCCTTGGTGATGTGTCCACTTCAGCGGGGGTCAGGCTGCAGACACACCAGGGACAAAGGCTGGATGCTACACAGGGCCCGACATTCCCGTAATCTGAGAAGGGACCAGCGCGCCTCTGCCCTCACCTTCTCAAAGCTTTTCAGTGTAACCTCGTACACCAGCTCAGCATTCGCCTGGATGCCATATTTTGGCTTCCCCGCCTCTCCAAAGCCATACCTGGACGGCAGAAGGAGGCAGTCAGAGGATGAGGGAAACCCTTCATTTCAGCAGCCCTCGGCCATAAACACAGGCCCGGGTTGCCAATTCTGTTTTCACATCCAAGCTCCCTGCCCACAGCTTACTAACATTTTGGGGCCAGGGTGATGTTACTCTCCACAAGCAAAGATACCCGACGCATTATGTATTGGGAATCAGCCCTTCTGGCTGCATCAAAGCCATCTTTTCTCAAAGATTTCTTCTCCAGCCTAAGGACCCAGCCCTGGCAATTTCCAGGGAGACATCAGACACTGGACTTGGATAAAGCCCTTTTACCCAATTTTTTTAAAGCATCTCAAGATTCTTGCCTGCACGCCACTGGTCTCTCTTACTATTCCTGCTGGCATTGCTAACCTGAGACTCTCCTGGTGAGTTCTGTTTTTGGGACAGCCATCTTCCATAAGTGCTAAAACAATGCTGGAAGCTGAAACCCACACAGCATCCCTGCGGGGGATGATCCTTACCGTGGGCTGAGGTAGAGGATGCAGTGCTCTCCCCTCTGCATCTTCTCTAGGGCCTTGTCGATGCCGATGGGGATGTCGTGGTCCTCTCCTTCGCCCACAATGAACTTCACGTCTTTGCAGTCAAACCTGCTGCCGCCACAGAATCCCTCCAGATGAACTGCAGGGGGACAAGAGCAAATGTGGTGGGATCGCACCCACAGTTACCCAAACCTTGAAGCAATGTGGGCTCCCAAGTATCTTTTAGAAAGTATTTTTATCTCTCCCAAAATCCAGCAAAGCCTCCAGCTCTGGAAGAGAGAAGACAAAGGGCTGGGGGCAGCCAAGGACCTCCTGGTGCAGAGAGGGATAGGGAGGGCTTAGGAACATTGCTGAAAAGCAAGGCAGGCATATCTTGTCTAACCAAGGACCAAAAAACAGATAAACATCGTGACTAATATGTTCCCCTCGTACTCAACTGCACGAGTCAAGTCTTACTGGAACTGGATATTGCTCCTGGCATGCTGCCACACAGAGTTTATCACGGTGATTACAAATCTTCTATACAGCACTATACTGCCTTGACTTCTACCTCGAAAACAAGGCCATGTTCTCCTGACTCTCAGAACTCAAAGTACAAGATAAACTTTTATTTTTAATCTTCAACCAGTAGCCGTGCTGTTCCAGCCCCAGACGCTGGCAGAAGTGCAACCAGAGCGGACACTGGGTACCTGGCACATCCACCACCTGGCACTCCTGGCTGCATTTCCACAGCAAGGTTATTTTTTATTTATTCAATCCTGAAGATGTTCCAGGCTTTGGGGACGCTTTTATGGTCTTTGCATTCTGTTTGCAGGGTACAGGGCAAAGACATGCAGGTAGGTATAAAGTAAAAGCAAACTCCTACATAGTGTTAAAAAAAATGAAACAAACAAACAAACACACAAAAGCTTTCTAAGAGGAAAAATTCACGATGGGCATTCCTGTTATCACAACTGTGCTTAGAGATTTTGTGGCCTGCAAGGATGTGAGCCTAATCTTTGCTTGGAGAGAGCAGGATGCTACCTGAGATGCTACAGGGCACTGACCATCCCACTGTGGTGGCAGAAGGTGAGCAGCAGGACAAGCCAAAGTAGACACTGCACCAGAAACAGCTATGAGGGTCTGGGCTCTGCATTGGACAGCTGCAACCTGGGCTGAAGGAAACCCACCCATCTTCACCTCACAATGCTGCCCTGCCCTGGGGCCTACAAGAAGTCCCCAGTATGAGACCACAGACCAAGCAAGCCCACAGGCAGTCCCCCATTCCTATGGCAGGTTCAACCCTTTAGCTCCTGCCACCAAGGCCATGCTGGGACTCAAGTGTGGAGGAGCAGAGGATGCCAGCTTCTCCGGACGCATCCTGCACCCATCACTGGTGCACAGTGACCACCAGGCTCAGGCTGGTGTGAGCTCACCCATCTTGGGATGAGGACAAAATGCAAATCCAGCTCCTACAAAGCCAACCTCTGCTTTTGCACTATCCAATACCAATCTGGCTATTTCCTTAGGCATAGGAAAACTGAAAAGTTCTGCCTAAAATACAGGTAACCCAGCAACCCCACAGCACCATGCCATCTCCCTCCATGTTCCTAGGGAGTACAGATCCATAATCCCTGACCTCAAAAGCAGCACTACAGCCCTCCCAAGTTCCACACCCTCTGAGGGATGTGGCAACAGTAGGAAGATTCCACATTAAAATGGGATGCACAAGAGGATGCCATGATCCTTCCTTTCAAGGACACTTTTTCTCCATTTCAATTGCACATAAAATAAGGCAAGCAAAGGGGGAAAAATCTCCACTCAGGTTTCCAGGAGCAGGTCAGCTGGTTGCAGTTGCTCTTGGGTTACAGAGAAAAAAAAGCCACTGAAGGAACATCACTCTGGTTGTAGCTCTGACTTATTGTTCTCTTGGTGCCTGCAGCGATTTTGTTTTTGAAGAGCTGAGAACAGAGTGTACTGAGTGCGGCTGGCACACGAACTTGATGTGCTGACAGCAATTTGTACTCAGATTAAAACGGAGAAGGAGGAGGGGTGGGGGGAAAGGATGTAACAAAAGCTGGAACGCCAGATTTTGACTGCAGCCCAGGTTTTAGGGATCAGAACTGTGAATTAAGGTCTATAAAACTTAAAGTCTATAAAAACCTGGAGATACTTCCTCCTGGAAGCATGGTTTCTTCCAGTCTCATTCCAGCACCTCCCAAATACACAGCTGAGGGAAACCATTGCTGCCCTCCTGGATCACAGCCTCATCCCAGGGTGGGCTGCCATATCCCTGCAGCTGCTGTGCCATCCTCAGCATAGTGCCCACCATAAACAGAGTTGCATTTGTTACAAAAAAACCCAAAACAACCCAACGATAAAAAACCAACAAAATCTATTTGCACCCAAAACATTTACTGCAAGGCTGCCTTCTCCTTGTCCTGTCTCATGGGAATGTATTTAAGCGTCTCAGGGCTCTGAACATATAAGGATGTGTAGGTCTCAATGAATTAAGGGCCACAGCAGCTACGACCAGAAAGGCTGGCAGGGCCAGTGGGTTGCCATAGGGATCAGCCCAGCATTCCCCATCCCTGCCCTACACGGGCAGTGCTGGCTCCGCAGGATGGCCTGGCAGGGCATCCATCTCCATGATTCTGATACGCGTGTGCTCCCGCTCACAGCATTTGTTCCAATGGACACTTTAATTTGAAACAAGTAAAGCAAGGATAATGGGCTGTGGGACATTGGTGCACGGGGAGACTTGTTATTTGGCTCTTTATGTCCTTTCAGAGAGATGATTCCTGGCTGATGACCTCCCCGAGGAGGAGATGGTAGAGTTCTGAATCCCCACGGGGCTTTGCTTCTTCCATCCTCCCCACAGATGCTCGCTGAGCATCTCTGGGCTCAGGGTTTTCCAATCAGCCCTCCAGGGCAGCAGCTCTGGCAGAGCCATCACAGGGACCAGCCAAGGAGAGCTCAGAGGTGCATCCCTGGGTCAGCAGTGCACTGCTGCTCTCCCAGTCCCTTTCCACCCCATCTGGCCTCTGGATGTATGTAACTGCATCCTATCATGATGCATGGCCACCTACAGCATGTACAGTAGATCCCTGCCAGGGAGAAGAAAGTGGGGTGGCTCAGAACAGGTTGATCCCTCCAGCTCCCCTACAAGGGATTAGAACTCACTCTCCACAGTAGCACCTTCATTAGGGTTGGAGTAACCTTCCCCCTTTCTCTTGATCCTTCGGATTATTCCTCCATCCTCAAACAAGTCTTCGCCTTTGAAGTCAAGCAGCTCAACCTAAAAAAAATAAAGAAAAAGTGGGCAGAGCTTAGTGAGGGGGGAAGGAGAAGGGAAAAACAAAGCCACGAAGCAGCAGTTCATCCTCTGGCTGGAGAACCAAGACAGCTAATTCTCCATTCAGCTGAGGAGCAGAAGTTGTCCATAAAATCCAGCTCCAAACCACAGCATAATACACACGATTTATTAGAAATTGGGGCACATCCAGTACCTGAAGCATAACACAAAGTAACAGTAAAAATAAGTTTATTAAACCTGTAAGGGTACAACACAGCTACTGCTGGAGGATGCTGTGAAAGTTGCCTGAGACCAGGTTAGGCAGGAGTTTCCCCTTCGTTCTCTGATGGGACCAACTCCAACCCACAGCTTAGTCCACACTCGACTTGGAAGGACTAAGCCTTAATTTAGGACAGACCCATTCCTCCTGCCTTGTCCCAATGAGCCTGGCCCAGGAGGAATGCCTCATCCCAGCAACCACACTGTGCCAAAAATGTGGAATTCCTACCGCACACAGCCCTAATCATTTTTTAGCACCTGGAGGCATTTCGCAGCTGCTTTCTCTTTCCCCTGTCCATGTTTAAACCAGGAATCTGCCCACTCCCTGCCCCACCATCAGGGCTCTCCTCAGCTGGAGTTTCAGTCCCAGCCTCCCAGCTCAGATACACATTTCTGAGAAAACCCTGGCAGCAGTTCCTGGAGCAGAGGGACACACTTCAAGAATCTAAGCTGGGTTTTTTGTTGTTGGGGTTTTTTTAAAAATTATTATTATTATTTCTAAGATGGTTAGCAAGGCAGGAAGGGAGTGAGTGAGCTCATCTGTGCACCAGCATTACTTACCTCAAAAAAGAGGGTGGCATTGGAGGGGATTTTGGGGGCACTGCCAGCAGAGCCGTATGCATAATCAGGTTTGCAGAGCAAGTAGCAGATCTCTCCTTTCTTCATGGTAGCTACCCCAATGTCCCATGCCTTGATTACCTGACCTAGGAGAGAGGTGAATGTCAGGCAGGAGGGAGCAACCATCAGCCCAGAAAAAAAACCAGCCTGGGTGCTGCAAGGATGGCACCCAAAAAAACCCCATACACCCAAGCCACTTAGGGCAGGGCTGACATTGTCCATCTGTACTGAAATAGGGTCAGTTGATCGCATCAGAATGATCCCACCTGCTCCCACTGGGATCATCCCACCTTCCAGAATCCCCACGGATGAACATGCCTGGACCAGCTCACCCTTGCCCAGGCTGAAGACAAAGGGCTCGTTCCGATCGCGGCTGGAGTCAAATTTTTTACCATTGGCCAGTTTGCCTTTGTAGTGAACATAAACCTTGTCCCCAATCATGGGAGACGCATCTTCACTCCCAGGTCGCTTAATGATCTGTGAGAGAGAAACCACCCATGAGCAGGGGCCATGGGACAGCTGAGGATATATACGGAAGGAAAGAGAGAGACACACGTACATCTACATAAACATCTATATATATATATATACACACACATGCATATACACTACAGAGCTGCTCTAAACAAACAGAAGGCTCAAGCAGGAGTCATTCAATTCATCCTTCCATCAGGCCCTAAAAATAAATCCCAAACCAGAGCCACGGCCACAGAGTGGGACAGGGTTGGGAGTAGAGACCTGCCCGTACTTTGCGGAGGCGTCTGGACAAACACTGTGGTTCGAAACCCGAAGTGAATCCAATTACACTCACTTTCTGTCCGTACACATTTTACTCACAGGGGTGTGTCTGTTCACTACTCGCTTCTTGTCAACACTTCTTTTTTTTCTGAATGCTACAGCCTGGAACAAGCAGTTCTCAAGCTGAGGATGGAGCAGGGGAGGATGCTATTCTTAGAGGAAAGGTGCTATTTAACTGGCGAAGAGCAATAGCCGGGGAGCAGATCTATCCAGAAATGACTCTGAATATGAAAAGGGGTTGTGGAGCAGACTGGATGACCTCAGGAATGTGCTCTTTCTAACATCTGTGAGTCACATACAAAAATTCTTTGTGGATTTACAACTAATAATCTGATTAGGAACACAATAGCAGTGAAATTCATGGAGCAGTTCAGTCTCAAACACCCCTCCCATCCTTCTTCACTCCAACTGATGCCTTTCAAATTAAAGAATTCAATCCTACAGCCCTGAAAGTACTATGTGACCCCAAGGGCTGCGAATGCAGCCCAGCAATGTGACCATGCATCCAAAATGCAGAAAGAAAGGCAAGACATTCTTAGAAGCCCCCCTCACCTTCAGAACCCCTCGGTCTTGAGCCGGTGTGATGTCCTCCCCGCGCTCAGTGAGGGCCACTGCCTGCACCTCCCCTTCACTCTTGGTGACCTCATCAGTAGTCATGGTCTCCTTGCATAGGCACTGGACCTGGGGAGACAGAGCATGCACCCCATCAGCCCAGTAGGACCATGAAAGGTGGTGTAAAAGGAAAGGGTTTATCACCCTTCATGAAAACACAATGCATAGCAAGCATCTTCTCCAAAAAATAAAGCAAACCCAACACCAAAAGAATCCCAACTATCTGGGTGGATAAAGAGAAAATTCACAGCAAGAATCTAAGAACTGTGGTTTTTTGGGCAAAAAGCCACGTTTTCCATCAAACACAGACTTTTTCCTACAGTTCCTGGTGAAAAAGGAATTGCCTATGGTTTCAAAAACAATTTCCTGATGATTTCCCTCAGACCGTAAGGTTATTTTCGTAGTTGTGCTGCTGCATGATACGTCATCAAGGAAACGTGACAGAGATTTGGAAAGCAATGGTTTTTTTCCGAAATAAACCAGATCTATTAAAGTCACTCTAATTGCGAAACTTTCCCCCAGTCTCTAGTGCGGAAGCTGATGTTAACCAGCAGGAGAAATCATTCATTTGGGGGATTCAGAAAGAGCAGAGAAAGGATGTTTTCAGCTCCAAGGGCAGCTAAGCCGTGTTGCAAGAAGAATTGCGTTCCTCACACCCGAGTGGAAATGGAAGAACTGGAGCCCAGCCTCCCCCAGCACAGGAAGCCACCGAGACACAAAGAGCCCTGCAGTGGAAGAAGTAAAGAGAAAAATAAGGGAACTACTTATTGCAATACTCAACTATCACAGTCTTTGGGGTGATATTTAACTTTCCTCTGCCCTGCTGAGGTTTCAGATGGGAACATCTTAAAAAAAAAACAAACTGAAAAAGCAACTTGTGGTGAGATCCACTACCTTGCAGGTACTTATATACTGGAAAACATGCCATCGGTTACTGTGGAAGAAATGTTTGATGATGCGGGTGGTGAAGCACTGGCACAGGTTGCCCAGAAAGGTGATGGCTGCCCTGGAAATATTCCAGGTCAGTTTGGACAGACCTCTGAGCAACCTGGTCTAATGGAAGGTGTCCTTGCTTGTGGTGGGGGAGGTTGGACTAGAAGGTCTTTAAAGGTTCCTTCCAACCCAAACCCTTCCATGATTCTATGATTCTGGTGCTGGGATGGTCTCTAAGCCCTCACAGTTCACACTGCCCTACCACCACCACGGCGTTCCTCTTGGAGACAAGTAAGGAGGTAGTGGCACCCATCACGGTATGGCTATGCCATTGGCACTGTGTACCAGCTCAGGACTTCCTGGCACAGATCCTGTGCAGCACCAGGGATAAAGCATCCATAACCTATTTATTAAGGACCAGGAGAAACCTGAAAAGGGGAGAAGCTTGCCAAAGATTCTCCTGGGGTAGAATCTCCCAAGGTCCACCAAGCAGCCACCACTGGGATGCAGAAGACGGAAGGGGAGGTGCTGGCTCTGGCTTGCCGGTTGCTAAATCCCACCAAGAGACATCTAAAAATACACCATACACATCCTTCTCATTATTTTTCTACGTAAGCAATTAGAGGAGTCATCCAGGGAAGCTGGCCAAGGCGAGCAGGAGGGGAGACGCTCTGCGTCAGAAGCAATGGGAGGGATGGAGCCCACAAGACCAGTTATTAAGATGTGGTCCACATTATAAAAGAGCTCACAACTTCTCTGTCCAGCAAAAACAGCTCTAACTAGGTTAGAGAAAAGAGCACGCTGCTCCCACTTATATCCCATTTGGAACAACAGAAGGAGGCTGGCTGGGGTCCAAAATCCCAATTAGTTTGAAACAAACAGTTGTAGGGCAAAAAAAATATCTGCTACTCCCCAAGACTTTAATGCCAAGCAGACAGGGATGTCACTGAGAGCTGAGCAAGTTTGCTGGTGGTGTCAGAGCCTGAATCTTCTCATTGCAGGACCATGTGTACTCTGGATACAGGGAGGGAACTAATTATTTATCCCGTACAAAAGCCCATGGGTGTTTCTGACACAACAAGCACATTCTGCTTTCCCACTGCTGCTACTACACACAAGTTAATGTAAGTCTGTAAATGATGCCAGGATAAACCATCCTCCCTCCTGCTTCATTTCCCTGGAATATAAATCTGGACAGGTAGGAGAAGCACAGAAATCCATACCATAAAAACAAGCCACTTAATTTTACAATTCCCTCTCCACACAGGTGTTGCTATCTTCCAGTCCAGAGAAACAGGTGAAAATTCAGAGCGGAGAATGGGATGTAGATGTCTGACCCCAGGCTGAGGACAGGCAGGTATCACACATGTTAGAGTTTCACCAACCACACGATCCTGATCCCAAGCCATGTTTCCTAGAAATCAGCATACCAGGAATTTGCCAGCTCCAAATGGAAAATTCATGTTGCAGATCCCTCTCAGAGGCTCACAGAAGGGGAAACGGAGGAGGAAGAGCAAGGCTGTGGAGTGTTTTGAGCGGTCTTACCTTGCCACCACGCAATTGCTGGAGAAAGACTGAAGGTCCAGGGAGAGTCTGGGGAGGTGTTCACCCAGAGATACAGTGGGAAAACACCTGGTAAGAAGAGGTGGGGGTAGAAGAGAAAGAAATCACATGTGCTGTATTCTAAAAGAGGATTTCGGGATTTAAGAAGAGGGGAGAACTGAGACAGCAGTTTCAAGCCACAGATGATGCTCCACCCTGGTCAGAGAGGGGTGATGAGACTATGGCCAAAACTTCCCATGGCAGCTCTTCTGCTCATTGCAGCCACAGGAAGATGTTTTGACTTGCTGTTTCCGCAAACAGTGTTTAGCATCTTACCATCTGCTTTTAAAAAAATAAACCAAGGCTATATTCAGTCCAATTTTTTTTACTAGGATGAAAATTAGCAGGATGGAAAAATAAGAGTTGGCTGCTCTGGCATTTAGTTTTTTAAGACTCACTTAGCACAAAGTGCTTTCACTTCCCCGGCACCACAACAGCCTTCAGATTGCAACACGGGAGGGAGTTTCTTTAAAATGCAAAGGTCAGGCTAAAGAAACAACAAAGCTAAATGCACAGCGGGAAGATGTGGGGCCATGAATGCTAGTGAGCATCACCCCAAATCCCAGCCCCTCAAGCTGCGCAGCAGCATGGGGCTGCACCTCCATCCTCAGCACACCTGCCAACGGATAATGAAGCACAACCCAATTAGCATAGCAGCTGGCTCTCTCCACTGTCCCACTGGGGTTCCACTTTCCCTTTGATCACAAGAACTACTTTTTCTGGTAAAATATCTTCTTGCTGAGCAAACTGCCCCTGTGCAGCAGGAGAGGGAAGATTGGAGCAGCGATTTTACCCAGACGAGAGTGTTTTAAGACACCTGCAATGCCAGCCTGCTGAGCACAGACCCAGAAGACGGTGATAATAAATTCAGATTGGGATTACTAAGAAAATATGACCTTCTTAAGACCAACAAGGCAGCTCCACATAATCCTCAGCTCCATCCCAACACATAAGGATGCACCCAGACATCGAGTGCCATTTCTCACACTCACATATCACAGCTTGAATTAAAAATTAACTTTTTTTTCTTTTTTTAATCCTGGCCACTTGACTTTCTCCTCTCTCCTTTAAAATAGACAGGGAAGCCATACAATTGAAACTATTACTCACGTGGATCAATTTACTTCCTAGCATGCACATTGTGCAAGCGGCCAACATCCCAGCAGGCCAGGCATGGCAACTTTTCTTCAAACAAAAAACCAAAATGCAAACAGAGCTGCTTTAATTGCCCAGCACCCTAACAAACTTCCATCATGCCCAGGGTGAGCTCTGACTCACTAGGGACTGAAGCAAACTCCCTGGTCTCCTTTATCTATGGCCAGTCCCTGCTCCGGGTTTAACACCTTCCCATGGAGACTCCAGTATCTCCCGAGCTTCTCCCAGGCAAAACAGTGCCACCCATTCCACAGGGACATCTCAAAGGGGGATGCAGTCACCAATCACCTCCCAGGAAACAGAAGGTATCAGTCTATTAACAGAAGAGCAGCAGCAAGGGAAGGTTTTTAAACAATGAAGAGTAACAAAGTGAGAAAACTACTGCATGCAACTAACTTAAATACAACAATGTATGTTCCCATCACACTTGCTTAATCATTCTGCTAATATAGCTAATATTTTTAAGCTTCCGAAATGGTTTTATTTAAGATCCAAGTCATAACTATCTTTTTTTAAAATATGTGAAATAAGAGGCTGCCCTCAATTTCAGCTGCAGCGAGAGGAACAAGTGAGCAGGATAGGTCACTAATCCCTGCCAGAAAAAATATTTCAGGCGAAAGCAAGTTGGGTTCAGTCTCTCTGCATCCCCTAGAGTGAGGCAAACACACCCAGGCCAACAACACACAAAAGACTTCAGAGAGGGGTGGTTTTATCTGCCCAGTTTACAATATAAACCCATTAAAAATAATCTGGCTCTTTTGCTGGTTATCTAGCAAGGCAACAGCAAGGAAATGCTTGCTTGGTGGTTTTTCCAGATTGCTTCAAAATAAAAAGAATCACAGGGATAAAATTCCTTTGAACTCTCTTGCGAGCATTGTATCGGCAGCCTGTGGTCCATCTCCTCCAGTGTGGGGACCCAGAGACAAAACGCCTTCTGCTTCCACGTGAAATGGAAAAAAAAAAAAAAAAAAAAAGGGCAGTATTTTCTTTTCTCTCTCCCTTATTTTAAAAAATGAATGTGTACTGGGGAAAGCAAAAAGCCATAAGCATTTATGGGTTCTTGCTCTCCCAAGGGAAGAAGGTGCTAGGGACAGGATGCAGTTGAGGATCTTTTATACCCGATGTTCTACAGCTCCTGGCCCCCAAAGCCATCCCTGGCCACCGCATAGATGTCAGCTGCTCCCACCACAAAAATCACAGGAGGACTCTGCCACAGACAATAGATCTGAAAAATATTGGAAAAAAGAGGAATGCAGGAGCCAGCAGCAAAGCCTCTGCTCTGCATCACAGGGAGAGGCACCAGCCTGCACGCCTCCTGCTCTTGAGGGGCTGACACAGCTTTCAATGATAGCTAAAAAAAAATAATTAAGGAAATATGGTAACAATAAATGTATAAATAGCTATTCCACACCTTGGGAGATGGCTGGCAGAAGGGCCAAGCACTTCGTCCTAACAAGCTCAGAGGCCATTATATACAGACACATCACAGCGGGGAATGTAATTTCCTAAAGCTTTCTTAAATTAGAATTATGTAACTGTATGGGAAAAAATATAATAATATAGACAAGAAGGTTACATAAACCATCTGTAAAATGTGAGAAAGTACTTGACATCCCACTACCCACTCCCTGGCATGCTCTAACTGGGTCTTTTGCCGTCAAAAATAAGCAGGCTCCTATCAATCGTGTCTTCTCCCCTGGTCCAAACAACCAGGGAGAACAGACCCAGCCAGGCTTTTTGGAAGGAAATATTTCACCTGTGGCTGAGATGCGAAATTTCCCTCCCCATACAGCACACTCCAGTGAAGTCCAAGCCCTCCACAGGTGACTCGAAGCAACCTCCTGGCAGCAACTACGTCAATGCTGAGCAAATTCAATTTCAAGGGACAGCTTGGGGGGACTAAAATAAATACAAAATGGGAATAAACAAGAAACTCCTTGTTTGCCAATTCCGTCTTGATTTAGTCTTTTCTCCAGAATAAATCTGACAATTAAAGTTAGATTTTATTTTTTTTTCCATTTTAAAAGCATTTCATTGCTTGCAACAGATTTCAGGCTTTCTCCAAGAAACTATCAGCCACATGACTCCAAATGGCAGCACCCCCAGCAGTGCAAATGCTGTATTTAATCATTTATCTCCATGCACAAGGGCTCGGCCGCACCTCGAGAGCCCAGTGCTGAATCCCAAGGGGGGATCCCCGACTCAGCATCCAGCACTGCTGCCGCCCCGAAATAACTCTGCACACAAGGCCATCTGCACCAATGGTCTATAAATGCCAAATTATTTTGGGCAAAATGCAATTCCCAGCATGTTGTGAAATGCCAGCTTGTTCCTGTGCCAAATCAGGACTTCTTGGAGAGGAGAAGGAAATGTCCCAAGTGGACAAACTGCGGGAGGGGGTCCAGGGTGGTCATCGCTGTGGGACACTGCGAGGTGCAGCCCTTGGGCAGAAGGAGTTGAGGACTGAGGACACTGCAGCTTTGGGGATGATGCTGGACCACTGCCAGGGCACCCGGACCCCTGCCTGCCCAGAGGAGCAAGAACATGCACATGAATATGCACATGAACACGCACAGGCACACATACACACTCGTGTGCATCACTTGAGGGTGGAAAAGGAGTCTGCATCCCACCAGGGCTCCTTGCTGGGACTGGGGTCACATCCCAGAGATGATACTATTTGCCAGGCGGTGCCTCCTAGAGTTCATTTTATTAAGCGATTACATTTAACATAAATCCAAAAGTACTTGAAATAAGAATTTTTTAATGAGGCTATTTGCTATTTGCAAAGACGGGACATTGCAGGCAGAAGATGATTTAATTGCAGTCCCTCATCATCCCAGCTCTTCACTTCTGACAGTTACTTTGGTATTATTTTCCTAATTTTCCAACACACTCACTTGCAAAATCAGAAATCCTTAGTAATCACTATTACTAGTTACGGAAAAAGCTTGTTGGCTCCATGACAAATAAATTACATGAACAACTTGTACGTTAGAGCACTCGTGGCCACTTCTTTACACCCACAAACAGAGAGCACTAAAATAAAAGAAAACCTTTGCTGAGTAATTGCTATTTCCCTGTGATATGCACGAGATCTGTATGAGTTTTGCAGCTCCCTCAAGGGGCTGAAATGATTTTATATAAATACATATAACTGAGAGTGACTATAAAATAAAGTACAAAAAAGTATAAAAGCATAAATAACTGAGGATAAATTATTCTCCAATTAGTTTATAAAATACTCTTCCCCTGAGGCAGCCTGGGAGCTGCAACCAACAGAAGATGGTCTTGGTGCTGAGCATCTCAAACCTTCCAACAAACTTTCTCCTTCTGCAAGCAGGTTATTAAAACACATCTAATTACACAGCAGTGACGTTCCCAAAGGATGCGGTGTGGTTTTTATTCAGGAATTGTCCTTATTTTCTGCCTCATCCCAGTGGGAAGATGCTCTAACAGTGTTGGGAAAGGACCTCAACATGGGCAAATACAACCTTGGGAAGCAGAGATTATATCTTTTTATTTTTTTAGAAAAGAAGAAAAAATAATTGCCCAAGCAGTGATCCCAGCAGACACCTCTGCTCTGGGCAGGATGGGCACCATGAACAGCCCCCATCATGCCAGCCTTCCCCACTGGGCCCCCTCCAGCACCAGTCCCGCTCCATTCTCCAGGCCCAAAGCCACCAGAGAGGCCACATGCTTTCACCCCTCCCCAGGCATTTCAGAAGAAGCAATAACTTCTCCACCAACTCTCCAGAAATCTCCTTTTCTCAATGCCACCAAATATTTTCCCTAGCACGAGCCCCACCTGCTTCACCACCTCAAGCCCACAGAAAATCCATAGAAAAGCCCCCGACCACCCCTTTCTCCACCAGCACCCCTCAACCACTGGCTCCTGTGAGTACCTAGTTCCATCCCAACCTTGCCTTCCCCTTCCTTCATCACACAGGTTGCTGTCATCAAGCTGCAGGGCCAAGGACTAGCATACCTCCAAAGACCAGCATCCCCCCTCTGGGCTGCAAACTCTCAGCACCACTGGGAAGTTATTCCTGCTCAACCCTCCACTCCTGGCACATCACCTGGCAGCAGTTCCCTCTCCATCAGCGGCATTTCTGTCCCAACCCCCCCCAGCAGTTTTGTCCCATCTCCAGAGTACCAGACTGGAAATAAAACCCAAGTATCTCCAAATGGTAGCATTGCCATCCAAATAAAACCCATCACACCTTCAGGAAAACAGCCCATAAAAGCCAGATATAGGCTCTGCCAGATGCATTTGATTATTTTCTTCTCCCCAGCCCTTCAACAGGGCAGGGAAAGAGGTAGGAGGGAGACAGCTCTCCCACATTTTAAAGGAAAGAGTAATTTGTGCTTTCAACTTTTCTTTTTTAACTTTTATTGCCAGTTTCCAGGCTGGGGTTGATACTCCAGTGATATCCCAAATCCACCTCAACAGTTTAATAGCCCATTATGGTGATATGCTATTTAAACTCTATATTTAAAACTGTAAAGTATCCGCTCCTGGCCTTTTTTTTAACTTTATTTTTTAAGGGTTTTTCGCATCAGCACTCACGGGTTCCTGTAGCTCATTGTGTAAAATACTGTCTCCTAATAAGAGCAAGTTGACTCAAACGTTCATTTTAAAAACAGAAGCTTGAAAGAGTTTGTATGCCCAGAGAGAGAGGAAAATAGCAGAAGTTTAAAAAAAAAAAATCACATTTACCTTGTGCAACTACTTACACCTGTTGCCAAAGGCACTATGTAGTAATGCACGCACCCTGCAGGGTCTTTCTGGTCGGCGGTGTTAGAGGAAACCCTACGGCTGCGCCCAGGAGCCTCGTGAAGTGAGGTGAAGCAGGGAAAAAGAAAAATCCCCTCCATCGAGCACCATCTCGCTGGCACAGATGATGACAGCCCCGTCACCTCCCCACCCAGTGCACCCCAGTGCCTCCAGCAACGCTCGGGCACCTCTGCATTTACTCTCTCAGACATTCCCTGCACTGAGGGGGTTATATGGAGTGATAACCCCCATCCCATCCTCATCCCACAGCAAGAACTGAGGACACCATCTCCTTCCCCACACAATGCTCCAGCCTCACCTGGGACCTCGAAGCCCTCCACAGAGCTCCAGGCAGGGTCCATCAGCCCCACGCATGCCTCTCCTCAACCCCGCACCGCCCCACGCTTTCGCCCCCCTTACCCACGGCACTTCTTCAGCCCCACACAGACTGCCCACCGGACCCTAGAGCCCAACACACAGCACCCACAAGCGCCCCAGACCCACCTGCAGCCACCGCCACCACCCGGCTCCGAGCGACCCCGCGCGCCCGCTCGGCTGCGCCTCCGGGCACGGCGCCCGCCGCGCCGCCCCACCCGCGTTCCATTGGCCGCTCCGCCTGCCTGTCTCGACCACAGCGCCCGTTGTGCCTTCTCATTGGCTCCAGTGGATGCGATATGCAAATCAGAGCGTTCTCCCCTCCCCCGGCGGGCCGGACCGCTCAGTCCCCCCGGTCACCCCCGCGCACTTGCCGGGGCGGGGCCGACGAAGCCGGGCGGGGTCGGCGGCAATCCGACCTCGAGCTATACACCGGGGGCGTCGCGGCCCCGAGCGATGCCCGAGGGGGTTGGCTCCACGAAGTGCTCCAATATTCCTTCAGCCCCGGGCTGTCCTCCTCGGGGGAGAACAGGGGACTAGGTTCAGGTGAGCCCCTCAAGGGCACCCCTGCCCCAGAGAACCAACCAGCCCCGTGCAAGGCCCCGGAAGTGCCCCAGCCCCCCATAACGCCCCACGGGTACCCCAACGCCTGCAAGCTCCTCGGGGTTTGTAATGGGAAATTCCGCGCTAGAGAGCGAAGAATTTGTCTCCGCAGTTAGGGACAGAGAGACGTGGGTTTGGACAACTCACTGGCTTCTGGGATATGCAGAAATGTTCCAATTCGATATGAAGGAGATAAGGTTTTTGTTAAAAGCTGCCTCAAAATACCCCTCGAGATTAGAAATAATGCACATTTGCAATTAAGCATCTCATCGCTGCTTGTCAACGTTCAGCTAATTGCAGCGCCTGAGCAAAGAAGTGCAAAAAAATGTTGGGGACAGATTTAAAATGGGGCATCTCTGAGTATTTTATGAAGTGTCTAGTTTTACCAGGTTTGTGTTGAAACGAGTGCCCGCAGCTCCCAACCTGCACCCTGATTCCCACATGTTAATCCAATAAAATCCCTAGGGTCAAGCTGAAGACAGCACTGCCTTGGCAGGTGCTTTCTTACAGGTCTGCTCTGTATGCTGAGTTCGATTCCCCAGCTGTAATTTAGACACTGATGTCACTTATCAGAAATACAGAGTTAAAGCACACTTTAGGGGAAAAAAAAAAGTTTTCACAACATTTCATTTTTCCCTCTCTAAAATAACTCAGGTGAATCTTGTATTTTGGTTTTAAACATTTCCATTTACCAAAAAAAAAAAAAAATATTGTGTGTTTGCAATATTAGGAAACCACATAGCTTAATTCTGTTAAGTCCCTGAAATAACACCCAGGCCCTGAAAAATCCCATGGCAGCATTGAGGGTGTTCAGCCTGCTTTGTCCTTGCAAACCTTACGAAAATGGTTAATTTGTTTGCATCCAAAAAATCACACAAAACACATGGGAAGAAAGCACCAGAGCTGCTTTTTTAAAGACATGTTCCAAAACATTGCTATATCAGCACTGGACCCCTCAGCTCACTCTGCTTTCTTGGGTGGTGAGATGTCCAAAATCCCCCATTTGTCCAGTGCTGGGGTCTGCCCTGTTCACCCCCATCCCTGTAACACAACCTGGAGGAAATCTATTCCATAAATAATCCTGTCCAGCTTTTGAGCGGCTGCCAGAGGTACTGCTTGTTCCCCCTCACTGTCCAGCTGGCTTCATATGTCGTGCCCCAGCCCTGTGCCCAGCCACAAAAGGACAGGGAGTCTGGGGGAAAGTCTTGCCCTGCACTGGAACAAGGGAGCAAAGCCAAGAAACCTGCCCTGCCTTGTGCTGCTCCCAAGCACCTTGTGTGCGGTAAGAGCAGCAGTTCCTGAAAGAGAAAAAAATTAAAAAATAACAGGGGATATTTTTATTCATCCTTGTCTTCTGCTAAAAATAACCAATGTTAATCTGCCTCGAGAGCATGAGGAGGAGAGGAGTCCTTCCACCTCAGCTTCACAGTTAAGAGCTACATCAGTCAATCTCTCAAGCCTTGGAGAGTGGAAGAAATGGGTTTTCTCCCAGTTTCCTTTTGTGTGTGGCAGCACAAATTGATGGTCCTGGGCCAGGTGACCCATGCAAGATGCTCCCTTCCCAGGGGGATCAAATCCATCGTTCCCCCCCAGTACCCAGATTCCCATTGCCCATTTGGGGGATTAAAGCAGTTTTTTGCAGCCTGATGGCTTTGCCCACCTGCACCCCCTGTATGTGCACCCCTCCAAGGGCCTAGTTTGTCCCAGGCAGAGGGGTGCAGTGTGGCAGGAGCCTGGTGTCGTGGTCATGGGAAGTTGTGTGTTTATGGGAGGTGCAGCCGAGTGTTGCACAACAGGCAGCAGAGTACAGGAGAACACTGTGTCCTCGCTGCTGGCTGTAGGTGCAGCTGCACTGGCAGCAGGAATGGACAGGTAGGGGGGACATGAGGGCATGGGGGGATGGAGGCAGTAGTGCAAGACCACTCATTTGGTATGAGGATACTTGACCCGGGGTTGCAAAGCAGCTGGAAAACTGCTTTCTGTATTAAATTTCCCCCAAAATCTTCCTACTGGAAAGGCCACAGGAGGGATTCTGTGTGTAGTCACGGAATGACTGGCCAGACCCAGCCTGGGGCAATCCCTCCGATCCCTTCTGAGGCTGCAACACAGTCCCTCTCTTAGCCTGGACTCATGGCTCCTACAATGAATTTTTAGCAGTAGTGGGGACAAGACATACCCCACACACATGGGGACCACCAGAGCAGCCCTGACTCCATCACAGGCTTGATCCTGCTCCCTTCTGCAGCACAACTAGGGCTGGCTCATTCTACATGTATTTCCAATCCATAAATTACCAGATTGTGATTCAAATCCTGGTCTCGTTGCAAAAAACCCTCTGCCAGCAGACAGGAGCACCTCCAGCCAGAGGCTTTGCTGGAGCTGGATCCATTCCTGCATCCCCATCTTCCCTATGACACTTCTTTCCAGACACCAGGGACAGCTTTTACAAGCTGAAAGGACACAAACATTTTCCCAGATTATTTATCTTCTGAGGAAAGGGGGAAAATCCCTGTCCTCCCCAGCTGGCAATGAGCAGATGAGGGCTGAGCAGAGTCCAGGGCTCCCCTAGCCCTGCTGGAGATCTAGCCCCACACAAGTAAGGGCAGGATGCAGCGAGGCCCAGAGTAGGGGAGATAAATAAAGTCCGGCTTTGCCGTCCTGGCTGGTGGCCACTTCCAACACAAAGTACATTCCGGTCTGGACGTAACGAACTGTACCAGCCTCCGCCGGGGAGGGCGGATGGCTGGGGCTGGCTGGGGCTCTTCGCCCGCCCCTCTCGAACGGGGGTGTCAGGGTGGGAGGGTGCAGGCTGGCACCTCTCTTCTGAGTTGGGTGCGGGAGTGGCGAAGGGTGCAGTACCCTCTTGGGCTGCAGTACCCTCTTGGGCTGCAGTACCCTCGAGGACGCTCAGCAGGCAGGCTGTGCCCGGCAGTGGAGATGCTCCTGCTAGAGGGATCTGAGGCCCAAAAACATTCCGGGGAGATCCCCCGCGGGTGCCCTAGTGCTTGCTAGGTGCCTGGGGAGACCCGCCTGCGGGCACACTCGGCAGGGATATGCACAAGCATTCCTCGGCCAGTGCTAAGGCTGCGTCCCCCCACGCCCCGTCGGCAGTTCCCGGGGCTTTCGGCCTCGGCCGCAGCCCCACCACTCCCGGGAGCCGCAGCCCAGGAGCCCGGAGGAGCCGCCGGGACCGGGCCGGGCCCTGCCCCTACCGGGAGCAGATCCGGGCGGGCGGGCGTGGTGCCAGGGCTCGGCGTGGGGACGCGATGTACCGGCCGCGGGAGCTCCAGGAACAGCCTGACTCAGCGGCGGGAGCGTGGGGGGGAGGGGGGGGGGGAGGGAGAGGGAGGCGGCCGGGCAGGGCCACTGTGGGGCTTCCAAGCGGCTGGTCTCGCTCGGGCCCCCTGGCTGGTGAAGACCGGTGTGGCGCCCATCATCACCCCTTCATTCCCCCAGCGTTCCCCCCAGCAATGCCCCTGGCATCACACCCAGCACCAACCCCCAGCATCACCCCTAACACCCCTTTCAGCATTCCCCAGAGTGCATTCCCCAGAGTGCATCCCCAGCAATGTCATGCCCCAGTATCTCCCCTCCCACGTGTGGGGCTGGCCAACTTCCTCAGCCCAGCTCACCCTCATTTCAGGAAATTTAATGCTAAAAAGACTCATCAAGGGGGATCCCAGCTTAACACCACCCCCACAAAGTGGCTGTTGCAAAGCACCTAGTGTCGAGCTCTCACCAGGCTGAGGCAGCTCATCAGCCCCCCCCCCCCCTTGCCCTCCCCACATCCCTGTATTGCACTAATTAATTCTTCCAGCAGCGCAAATTATTCAATCTGAGGATTTTTCCACTTGTGCCCAGCTGGAAAACATCACGAGAGGCTCATGGAGGTGTGGGGGCTGCCTGGATGTCCTCCAGGGCCACCTCTGCATCCCCCATGTCCCACTTGCAACCTCCACTACTACCCTAAGCTGGGCAGTCCTCAGCCCTGGGCTGCTGCTCTGGGATGGGGGAGCCTCCTCAAGAGACCCTACTTCCAGCCCCAAAGCCAACCCCAAGGATGGAGGAGAGACGGAGATCTTCACACCAGGTTTTGGGACCCTGGGGGCTGTGGTTTGCCTGGAGCAGGTCCCTGCCCTTCCCTCAGGTCCTTCCCTGTTCCAACTCCAGGGAAAAACATCAACAATTGGTTTTCTCAAGAGGCAAAACAGAACTTTTAATGATTTTTTGCTAGAAAGGTTGCTTTTTCTCCAGAGAGAGCTTGAAGAGTGGCTTCTCATCGGCTTCATCCTAAAGCCATCTCTCAGGCATGCTGGCAGTGGTGCTGAGCCTGAGCTGAAAGGCAGAGCTGGTGTTCGATACCCACCCAAATTCCCTGGGCCCACAGCTAGGGAGGGATACAAGAGAGCAGAGTGGGACAGTGAAAACCTGGCTCAGATTTAGGAACATCCAATTGGGAGTTGTGGGAGTCACAGGATTAGGCCCCCCTATCCCCATTGTGCCTCATGACTTGGACCTGCCATGGGGACTTTGCTGCTGCAGACACAGGTTGAAGTGTTCCACGTCAGCACAGGATTGTGGGGGCAGACTGAGGATTTAGGATTCCCCAAGCCCCTGGTGCTGGCTGGGGCATCCCACACCCTGCAAGGACATGATTCATCCCCACAGCTTCTGCCTTGCGCACATAGTGGCCACCTCCAGCCAAAAGTCACCTTGGGATACCCTGGAGGGGCCACTGGCCCCCTGGATTGCACCAGTCACTGCTTTGCCATGCCCCAACTGACACTAGGGGAAAAAAGCATGTAGAGTGGGAAACAAAACGCAGAACCAAGAGCAAGCAGGCAGCCCCAGATACCTCTGTGCACCCCCAAACACCTTTGTGCACTCCCAGATGCTTCTGGGCAACCCCTCAGGCACAAGAAACCCAAGCCTCTCTGAAAGCACAGGCATCCCCAGTGCCCTCCAACCTAAATCCCAGGAGCCCCTCTGGCCCAGCTGCAGGATTAGGCCCATCATCACACCACTCTGCAGCAAACTGGGGTGTACTGGAGGGGGAAGGAGGTCATGGAATTAGGTTGTGCCTGGGGTCTTCCCTCCTGCCAAAATCACTGCCCCAAGCTGGATGCTACAGGGCTGCTGCCTGTCTGAAGTCCACTATGGGGGCCAGGGGCAGCTCAACACACACTTTCTTGGAGTGTTTTGCAAGGTTGGGAATAAGGCATATCTGCTGGGGATGTCTGCAAAGCTGGGCATTGTGTGGACACACCACTGGAGATGCAGTGAATTGAAGGCGCAGGGACTCCCTGGGAGGGGCAGAGAAGGAGCATCAGTGCATCTGTGCAGAAATTAAAAAGAAATGAAGAAGAGGAAGAAGAGGAAGAGGAAAAGGTGATGTTTTGGGAAAAAAACAGAGTTAAAGCAGTGCAGAGAAGAGGTGAAGGACAAGGGCTGGCAGAAAAGGGGGAGAGAGGGGGGAGAGGAGCTCGGCTGAGCGAGAACATCCTGTACCCTCGAGTAACAACAGCTAGGCCAGGCGGGGGAGCACCAGGGAGGCAGGAGGGGTGGACACTCAGGCGGCAAAATGTTCCACACACCTCCCTGGTAAGTGGGGCACCCCATGGGTGAACAGGAGGGGATGGGGTTTGACAGTGAGGTGCAATCCTGATGATGGGGTGAGGCTGGGGAGGGTCTTGGGCTGCCCTCCACCCCAACATCCCTTCAGTCTCATACTCCTCATTGCTTTTTAACCAAGGAGAGTTAAACCCCATGCAAAGCACAGAGGGAGGAAGGAGTAACCCAATGCTTGTTCCTCTCCATTACCCAGGGTGAAGTAAGGTCCCTGCTGGGGCGCTACATCTCCCACGTGTCCCTGCACAAGGAACCTTGCTGCAGCAAAACCTGCCTGCACAAGGATGCCCTGCTCATATCCCCCTTCCCAATTTAGATTGCCCCCACCCTAGTGTGGGGTCCCCCTGTCCCCAGGACTGGCAGTACCCCACACGTGCCAGGGGCCCCTTCCTGTGTTTGTCAGGTGTCTGGTTTTTGGTTTAAGCCAATATTTACCACCTGAGAGCTGCCAAAATAAAACTGCAGCTTCATCAGTAAATATAGGGCTGAAATGGGGGGCGGGGGGGTTCATGTGTCTACCACCTCAGCACAGCTACCTCCTTCCCACCTTTCTGGTGCTCCCATGCTCCTTCTGCCATTATAGATACACCCCAAAAAAAGGAGACACCACAAAAAGAGCATCGAATATGCCAGAGATTAGTCCAGGCTGCCCCCTCCCAGTACTATCCCCTCTCTCCTTCCAGGGAAACCCCTAATGCAGGACTCAAAGAGTGTCAGGGCTGTGGGGTTATGTGCATTTCAGGCAGCCCCAAAGCTGAGCTGCCCCTGGGGCTGGGAGATCTCTGCTGGGCTGGGAGGTCCCCAGAGCTGGGAGGTCCCCAGAGCTGGGAGCCCTGGCTATGGACATGGTGTGGCTGCCCTCTGCCTGTCCTGGCATGGCCACAGCTGGGCGTTGGTCACATCCTGCCCCTGACAGGCACATACAACCCCGGACAAGGCTAGCACTGGGCAGACAGGGCTCCTAGTATCTCCAGTGTGTGTCCTGGGTAATGGCAGCTCTCTGGGGTGCTCTCCACTGTTGTGGAATGGCATGTGGGGCTGAGGAACACACAGAAACAGCAAGTCCATGGAGAGACCCCTGTGTCCCATATCCCCTCCGCCCTTGCTCTGCCTGGAGCTGGCCATGCCTCTGCTACAGGAGAGGGGCTGCTGTTCCTGTGCCCATCCCCATCAGCTCCTTACTCCACACCTCATCCTGCACTGATGAAGACATGGACCTGGTGGCCTCTTGCCAGGGCCACCACTACGATGAGAACAAGACTCTCAAAGCTTTAACCACCCGCCACAAGTTTAAAACTAAAATCCAGGTCAGAATTTTCTCCTCTTGCAGCTCTGCCGAGCCAAACTTTCAGGGACCAGAAGGTCCCCAAGCAGCCCCCCCCATTCCCCTGCCCACACTGGGGACCCTCCAAGCTGTGCCACACATCCAGATGTGTCCCTGGTTCTTCTGCAGGTTCAGATCCTCAAGCTGCCAGTCACCCTTGTCCTGGAAAAAAAGTTTCCTGCAGCACCTTCTCAGCTGCGAGGAATGGCCTCCAGTCTTTGTGGCCTCCCCACCTGCTGCAGAGCCGCTTGGGACAGTGGCAAGTGGCACTGTGGGTGCCTGATGGTTGCTGTGCCCCCATGGATGGAAAAACATGGGTAAAATCTGCATCTGAGAAGCTAAGAACACCCTCTCTGATGACCCCTTCATCTCCTGCTCCCTCCTCAACTCTGCCAGATGGCTGCCTCCTCTTCCTCATCTTGCTGTAGTACATCTGTGCTCCCTCCCCATGCCCAAAATGCTTACTCCAAGCTGGGCATCACACCCTGCAGGCTACCCTGCCCAGGGCACAGCTCTGCTGGGGTCAGGGCTTAGCGGATTTGCCACACCATTGCAAGCCAGGGCTGCTCCCAGCACCGTCTCTCCCCAGGTCCATCCTGAATTCCCCAAACTCCTGCATATCTTGCAGCCAGAGAAGATACTCTACAAGATACTGATGGAGGTGCTGCACGGGGGTCTCCCATGGCATGTACAACTGCTGCCCATACAAGGTCTTTTTCAGGGAGGACTCCCACCTCGCTGACCTCTCACCTCCTGGCCACATCTGTTCACCCTGAGGAGGTGCAGGCATGGTCATCCCGAGCCTGTAGTGTGGCAAGACATGGGAGGTGGACATGACCACCAAACACCCTGGGCACCCACAGCTTCAACACCCCCTGCAAGTTCCTCTTCTCTGGCAACAAACCTTTCATAGGAAATGCTTCCAACCAGAGCAGCCACAGCAGGAAATAAAACAAGTCCAGCACAACCAAAGTAGCTCCCTCATATCCTGGGGCTGCTGCATCTTCCTGTCCCCTGCACCCCCTTTGCTTACACTCCCCCTGAGTAGAGCTCACCCCATGGCTCTCTGCTGACCTAGACAGATTATTATACAATTGCACACACATATAGGTAAAGCTATCATGTCCCTGTGGCTTTTTCCAGGACCTTCTGGCCCTGTTGTCCCCATGCAGGGGGCCTGCGCCGAGTGAAAACGCTGGCCTGCAGCTCAGCAGAAGCTGCTCTTTACTCAAATTCTCCCACAGGCATTCCTAGGAAAGGGAAAGGCAAGGTGGCAGGGGCATAGGTTCCAGGGAATCTCTTTCTTCACCACCATCTGTAGAAGCCCCGGGGGTCCTTGCAGACACCGAAGTCACTGTTGGTAATGGAGCCCACGATGGTCTTATCAGCGTCACAGGTCAAGCCGCTCTCACAGGGACACTTGTAGTAGACCCCATAGATGCTCTGCAGAGAACCAAGACACAGGGTGGGGGATGTGGCCCCATCCCCAGCCACCCCTGGGAGCAGGAAAGCACGTACCTTTGGGGAGCATTCCTGAAACTCGGCTGCTTTCGGTGCACATCGAGCAAGGCTGAGGCCACTGACCCGGTGGCAGCAGCCGCTCTTGCACTGGGCACTCTGCAGGCACAGCTCCCCAATCTCCTGCATGACAAGGCAGGGCCTGAGCACCAGATCCCTCTCTGTCCCGCTTTGATCCCTCCCTAGCTGTAGGCCCAGGGGGGTTGAGTGGTTGTCAAACACCAGCTCTGCCTTTCAGTATGCCTGAGTCTCCCAGTATGCCCCATTTCCTCAGTCTGGCCCAAAATGCCAGCCACTGAAGTGCTATTTTTGTGGGGTTCATGGGAGCAGGGCTGAGACACCACAGGAAAGTGTCTTCCCTCCCCAGTCTCTGTGAGCCACCTAGGGTGGGAGTTCTGGCTGGCTCAGGCAGCTGAGAGCTTCAGTCTCATCCACTCTATGACTTCCCTATTACTTTACACAGCTGCTTTTCCGGGCTCCAAGATCCCTCACAACTCTGGAAAACCCAGCATGTCATCCCCACCTGCCTCAGTTTTCCCAGACACAATAAGTTTTGCTCTTGCTGTCTACATCCATTATCCTGGGGGTCCCCCACATAGCTGCTGCCAGAGGTCAAAACACTGCAGACACCTCCAACCCTCCATGCACTGTGTGCCCCACTGCAGCACTTGGAGCAACCCCCACAGTGTCAGGATCATGATTAGTCTCCTCTTACCAAGTTGAAGATGAGCCCTCGCTGCTGCTGTGCTGACAGGGCTGGGGCCAGGAGCATCAGGGCCAGGAGCAGGCAGGCAGGCACCATGTTGGCCATGGTGGGCTCCCTTGTGCCTCCACCATGGGGCCGGCAAGTGCTTTATAGCTGGTGTCTCCAATCAGCTGACGTGGCTGCTCCTATCACACCTCAACTCGTGGCATTCCAGCAGTGCTGCACTGCCCAGGGCAGGGTTTCCTTGTGATGCCTGTGCTGCCAGTGCTACCAGCTCCCGTTCCCGGGTGACTGTCCCTCGCTGGCAATGTCAACCTGCCCTTTGGCGGCTCCTTTGGCCAAAGCGAATGCAAAGTAATGGCACTCCTGTGCTTCCAGTCCTCCCTCCTCTCCCTCACCTTGGCAGCAGCGAGCTGTGGAGCTGGAGCTCTCCGAAATGCCCTCCTTGCTGGGCACTGCTGGGGGTTTGTTCATAGGCAAAGTGAGGGCTGGCGCCACGGCAGGAGCTCTGTTCCATGAGAAAGTGCCCGTCACCAGATCCTCCATCACTCAGATGGTATGATCACAAAGGCCAAGAAACCTAAGCATACAAGAGAGAGCTCAGCCCCCTGCAAGCATCCTGCTGGCCTTTCTCAGTGCTCCAGAGCTCACCAAGGTCCCCAACCCATGGGCCAGAACCTCACCCTGCCCTGCCAAATATTTGCTCTATGTTTAAGTGCTTGGGGGCTGCAGCTGATGAAAGGAAAACAGCCCTGGGAACAGCACAGCTTTTCATGCCTGAAGTGGCTTGGCTGTTCTCAGCAACGATTAATGGCCAGGCAGCTCTGACCTTTGACAGCTACAAGGATGATGCCGAGGCTGACGCTGACGCTGGCTATGGCTGTTACACTGGCAGCTGGCATCCAGTCCTCATGACAGGAGCTGAACCTGTGTGGTCTCTCGGGATGTGAGGCACATGTGGCTCCTGGAGAGAGATCCCAAGGTGGCTGCAAGTGCCTGCAACCTGTCAGGGCAGGCTCTAGAGCTGCCCATGCTCCTCTGGCAGCAGGACATGGGGATTGGTCAGAGACCTGGCCCTGCCACAGGTGCTGGCTGACACCTTGGTGTGTCCTTGTAGCAGGATGAGCCATTTCCCTTTCCGCAGTGAAACTGTGGGGATGGTCCCCTTCCTGCCTGCAGCCCCAGGCAGCCCTGGAGCTGATGGTGATATCTGAGTTTTGAGATGTAACAAGAACTAACAGTTTTTACAATGGACTGTACCACAGAAACTACATATAGCTGAGCCAAGTGATTTAAAGTGACTAACCAAGCAAAGTCAAGAAACAATGAAGAAGGGAACTGAGGCAGCCAGCCAAGCAACACCCAGTTCCTCTATAACCAGGTGTATTGCCTTAAAGAAGTTCATAAGGCAGGCACTTCCTTAGAACTTTGGGGGTTCTAGACATAACCAACAGGCATCACCGATGAAGCCCCTCAGAGACCTTATAAGGATATGTATGCATGCTAAAAAGCATTGAGAGATGTCATAAATATGCGACAAGAATGCATGGAATGAAATATGAATAATCATGTGATGCTGACATATAAGCTGTAGTGAAGATACTGCTGTGTGCACTTTGGTGAACTGATTCCCAGGGCAGTGCTGTGATTATACAGCACTGTGTAATAAAGAATGCCTGGCTTCTAAAACTCACAAATTAAGTCTTAGAAGTTTCTTTAAGAGCGAATTTTAGGCTACAGTGGGGGGATCAAAGGGCCTGCGGTCCACCACCCCAGTGATGCAACACCCTATGTACTCCCCACCAGTGGGGGAAGACCCTTGTGACATGGCCTGGGAGGCCAGAAGGGAGTAGCCAAAGATGCACAGAATTTGGGACATATCCTGGGGCACACAGCAGAGCCCGATGGCATCCCAAGGCTAACGGCACAGCCCTTGGTACATTCTGGGGCACATGCTGGGGGGCAAGACACATCCCAACATGCATCCTGGGGCATGTGGCACATCCTGGGACACATCCAGGGCTGCACAGTGAAGCCCAGCACATCCTGCCACACATCCTGGGTGTGCATGGCACATTGCAGGGCACATAACACGTTACTGAGGGGCACGGCGGGGGAAAGAGTGCACCCCTGAGCGCACAGTAGGGCACAGGGTGCACTCTGGTGCACAGCCCAAGGTGTGTCCCAGGGCAGATCCTAGAGTCCACACTGGGGATATTTGGCTTATCCCAGGGTGCATGGTAGGGCATGCGGTGGAGGCAAAGGACAAATCCCGAGAAAGTATTCCAAGGACACAGGACACCCTCGGGGCACATTCCGGGGGCCCATGCTGGGAGCGCATCCCGCAACCGCGCCGCCTGCCTCCTGCCGCGCCCTCCCCGGCTAAGGGGGCGGGGGTCGTGCCGGCTCCTCCCGGGTCCTCCCCGGCTCGTTGAGGGTGTGGGGGAGGTCTCACCGCCGCCGCTGCCGGGCGGGCGGGGCCGGGCCGGGCGCCCGGGGAGCGGGGCCGGGGCTGGGGCCAGGGCCCCGCCATGTCCAAGCTGCTGCCGGCTCAGGAAGCAGCCCGGATCTACCATACCAACTACGTGAGGAATGCGCGGGCCATGGGAGTGCTCTGGGCCCTCTTCACCCTCTGCTTCTCCATCCTGATGGTGGTGACCTTCATCCAGCCGTACTGGATCGGCGACAGCATCGACACGCCGCAGGCCGGCTACTTCGGCCTCTTCTCCTACTGCATCGGCAACGCGCTCACCGGGGAGCTCATCTGTAAGGGCAGCCCCCTCGACTTCGGCACCATCCCCTCCAGTGCCTTCAAAACTGCCATGTTCTTCGTAGGCATATCCACCTTCCTCATAATTGGCTCCATCCTCTGCTTTAGCCTCTTCTTCTTCTGTAACGCAGCCACCGTCTATAAAGTGTGTGCCTGGATGCAGCTGGCAGCAGGTGAGCAGGGCTGGGGCAGGCGATGCACGGGAGGGGCTGGGGGCTGCCCGTGATCCGACTAGAGCCGCTTTTCCCTTTCTGCCCCCACCTCGACCCTGCTGGGAACGGGGCTGGCCTGTAAAGAGACACCTGTGTTACCTTCGTGCCATTTGCTCTCCCTTACTGGTTACCAGTGTGGAGTTTGTGGTCAGTAAAGCCTGTCAGCAGCTGAGACACAGCAGACTCACTGCATGTTGGACGATGCGTCCCCTGGGTGCTGCTGCTGCAGCAAAACTGCATGGCACCTAGGGCCCGGCCCCGGCTAGGCTCCACTTACCTGGAGGAGCTTCCCTCCAGCCAGTGCTCCTGCTCAGCCCCACCGTGCAGTGACGTTGTGGCTTTGGAGTATCAGTTCAAGAGCACAAAAACTCCGCAGGGCTGTGGCATAGAGCTCTCTGCTGTGTTTGGAATCCTGCAGGATTTAAACAGGGAGACAGTGATAACATTTGCTGGGCTATTTTAATAACTTCGTGAGCTCAGGGAATAATGTACTAGGAAGAGGGAACAGGAGGAGGAAACTGACTATGACTTGGTACCATCATTTGCATTTTCCTACTTTTCTGCTCATCCCTGTGGGTCTCCAGTCTTCCCCCTCTCTCTCCCAATGCACTTGAGACACCTGGTAACCCAGCTCCTGTTTTCGATCAAAGCCTCATCTGAAACCCAACCCAGCCCTTTGCTGCTCCTGAATCTTTCATGCCACAGCTCCCACGGAAGAAACAGCCCAGCTGACACCCTGTGGGATGTCCATCAGGGTTTCTCCAGCTCCCAGCTAAAGAAGAGAGCTCAAGCAAAGATTTAGATAAGAGGCTTGGGGCAGCTCAGCATGCTGGGGAGCTGAGTTGAAGTAGGGAAAGGCTTTGCTGTGGTATTTGGGGCTTTTACCTGTATTTTTTTTTTTTTTTTTGTTCTGGATGGGGGAAGAGAAATGTCACAGGTGGAACTGGTCAGGTGCTGCTGCATTTTAAGAATTATTTTACAAAGGGGGCAGGCTTAGAGAGGATTCACTTCCTGGCCTTTGCTGTGCACTAGGGTGCATTTTCACAGAAATTACTTCATTCCAGCTTTCCCCATTTCTCTGTTCCTCTCCTCTCAGTTAGTTACAGGGAAGATTAATTAAATACAGAATAAACCAACTGCTTTTCAGTGAAATCTTCCCTGCAGACCAAGGAGCTGCCTGCTCACCTTGCTGCTTGCTTGTCCTCAATACAAGGAAAAAAAAAACATTGGCAAAGGACAAAGCAACTGCCTCAAAAGTGTTTTCTGGTTTACTGAGCACCCAGTGACAGAGAAGAGGCACTGGTGTGGAGCAAGATGCATCTCACTGCTGCAGGAGGCTGCAAATGTCCATGAGGGGCTGGGACAAACATCTGCTTGTCCAGAGGTCCCACTATGGGGTTGTTTCTTGTGTGAGAGGAGTCAGGAACAGCCCTGCATCTGCACCAAAACACATAAAACACCAGTTGCTTCCATGCTCTGCACCAAGATAACAGTGGAGGATGTGAAAGGCCTCTGTTAATCATGTTCCAAAACCTTATAGATGAACTTGTCTCTTTTCCCAAGCCTGGTCACTCTTCCTGTCCAGTAAATACAACAGTTTTTCTGAGCATATGGGGAGGGAAAAAACTGTACTTCTAAGGTTTTGAGGCAGGAGCTGCCCTTCAACAGCCTGCCAGCACCAAGGTTGTTGCAACTCTTGTGGCAAAGCTGCAAAGGTGATATGCTGAGGGCCCTGGGGCCAGGCTGGATCAACTGTTGAGGTCATGGGTGCGCTGAGAGCAGTTACAGGAGGAGCTGATGTGCTGTGACTGGGCTGGAACCACCACAGCTGAACAAGCAGAATTAATCTGCCCGCAAAGCTGCTGCTGACACCAGCTCTACCTTAGCAAACCCTAAGCTGAAATCAGCTGCTCGCAGGATGCTAGGAAGGTTCTCCATCTTGCACAGACTAAACCCATTCCAGTTTTGTTTGGAGAAAACATTCCTTTGAAGTGACATGGCCAGGGATGCATGAGGAGAGGCGGGAGAGATGTTGCCTGGGCAACACAGTGATCAGAGATGCTGGTGCAGCAGTCCTTGACTCGGGGGAAGGCAGCATGTTGTATCCTGCTCCTCCCCAGCTGTGGAATGGAGCAGAGCCCAAAGTGATGGGCAGTCACAGAGCCTCTTTAAGCCTGGCAAGCCAGTCTCTAGTACCTTATCTGTTTCTAGCACTATGTTTGCAGCCATGCTCCCTCCACCTCCCAGTATCAGCTCAGGAGGCAACTTGTGGTCACTGTAATGTCCCCCAATGGCAACTTGTGTCCCTCTCGCTGCAGCTACTGGGCTAATGATCGGCTGCCTGATCTACCCTGATGGCTGGGACTCGAGCGAGGTGAAGCGCCTGTGTGGGGACAAGACAGACAAATACACGCTGGGCGCCTGCACTGTGCGCTGGGCCTACATCCTCTGCATCATTGGCATCCTCGACGCTCTCATACTGTCCTTCCTGGCCTTTGTGCTGGGGAACCGGCAGGACAACCTCCTTCCATCTGATTTCAAAGTGGAAAATAAAGGTAAAGACAGCTAGGGCTGAGCTCTGGGGCCCTGTCCTGCTGCAGTGTTTCCACCACACAGCTCCTTGCTGTTATTGGCTGATGTGGCACTGAATGCCATGATCTAATAATCACAGTGGGGTTGGATCAAGGGTTGGACTTGATGATCTCGGAGGTCTCTTCCAACCCAGTTAATTCTATGATTCTATGATTTGGGAGGATGGTGGCTTCTTTCCTGGCACAGTCATCACACTGCTTCATAGGGATGGAGAGCCAGCAGCAGGCAGAAAATTGACAGAGAACAAGGCAGGAGCCCAAACAGACCCATACTAGCTTTCACAGGCATGGGGCTTTCTTCTCATCCTGTTTTCAATTTTCTCCCTTTTTGAAAACAAACCTGTAAAACATACCCAAGACTTTCAGTTTTATACCACACCCTATTAACACTGTAATTATCTTTTTGTTTTACAGAAGAGGGAAATGACTGACAGAGCTCATTACCACGTAAGTGATACCCACAGACTTTTAATGTTTCTTCCCAGCATACATAATGTTGCTCTTGTATTCTGATTACTAAATGACTAACAACTGGTTTTGGTGCTAAAGTCACATTGATTTTATTTGTGGTTAGAGAGGAAATAGTCTTTGCTTTGCATCCCAGAACTGGGAAAACATAAACCCTTGTCAAATGATGAAAAAAAAACAAGCTTAAAATTTGGCAACAGCTGACTTATTCCTTCTGTTCCCAGGGAGACCCAGAGCTCTTCTTCCATCATCCCTTTTTTTTAAAGTGACTTTTCTAGGAGATTTAAACTTACCAAATTCTGTGGATTTTCTACAACTGTTTTCTTCACTCATGGGGCTGCGCTTGGCTAACAGCTCTTGTGGAGTTTATTGGATGGGAAGAGCCCAAATGGGACATGGGGTTTTTCTGAGTCCATCGACAAGAGGGGTCCTGGGCAAGAGGGGAGCGATAGTGATTTGCTGCTTTTTTTGTGGGGTTTGTACACCTTCTTTCAAGGACATTACTTATGAATAAAGAAAAAATAAAAATCAGTGTTTTGGATTTCGTGCTAGTCTGCTCGGGGCAGAGGAAACCCTCTGCCATGTCCCAGGTTGCACTTTAACTTGAAAGAGACGATGACACAGCCAATTCCTACCTGAGTGGTGAATCAGTTTCCCACTATGGGCAACAGTAACCAAAAATATGCTTTCCTGGGAAAAGAAAAAACAAACAACAAAACCAAACCTCAATCTTCTGGGCTGTAGCAGGCCTGTAACAGCACCTGCAATCCACATAAGATGGTGCCAGTCACTGCACCACCCCACTAACTTGATTTAGTCATCATCTCTTATCCCATTCAACACCTGCCCACAGCAGCCTGTGGGCAGAGTCCATTTCTGCAGAAGATAAAGCAGGACATTATCCTGTCCAGCTCTTACCTGGTCAGAACCCAAAATTAGCCTGCATTATGATTTTAATTTCTACTTGCCGTAATTTGTTGATTCCTGTAGCAGTCAATTCAATTCAGTTCCAACAAGTACCTTCCAATTTTACATTTCCTTCGAAAAAAGTGTCTGGGAAGGTTTTGTTAAGATTCTTGGCTAGGGAAGACAGCAGAGATACAACAGACTTAAAGCAAAATGTATTTTAGAATGGAAAAATTCCAGCAGAGTTGTCCTGCTATTTATTACTCTTACCCGCTTTTTAAAACAGATCACAAATACCAGCAACAAAATCTTTACTTATACCATCTCTCCGTCTCATTCCACCATCACTCACTAGTGAAGCAAATTCCATCCACTGGGCCATTGACTCAGAAAGAACAGACACAGGGAATGTATAAAGACTAGACTTCAGTTATTAAATAATCTGTTTATTGTAGGGTTTTCACAAAGAAAAAAAAGACAAAGCACCCAAGTAGAAAGAATAAAAATGTATTTTCCTTCAGGTGTTAGACTGACACAGCAAGTATAAATCCTTTAGTGTGAGTACATTACAGCAACTGGGAAATTTAACAAACCCCAAGTGAACAAGTAGACAATACAAGACTGAATTGTGACAGCTGCTTCTGCAGGTCTTTAACTCACAAGCTGGCTCTAGCCTTAGCTATCTGGGTATAAATCCTCCTCCTCCAGTCAGGGGTGGCAGAGGAAAGGGAAAAAAGGATAGGCAGGAGCTCTTAAGAGTCAAAGCTTGCAGACCCCTTCTAGGAAATGTTCCTTCATCAGCCAGTCTCAAGTATGCAGGACCGGGCAAGCTTTCAAGAGCACAGGAACTGTTTGCCCATGCCATTGTATCTTCACAGTAAGTTGGAACCCAGTTACTTTCTGCAGTCCTGTAACAGATACAGAAGAGACCCAGAACTGGAAAACTCCAGATGAACAGGAAAAAAACCTGTCAAATCAGCAGTTAGAAACTTTTTTTGGTATGTTACCTGCCTTTCACTTTATATTATGTGCATAGAGAATCTGATCTACCATTAAAGGAACATGCAGCATGATTTGCATAAATAAGCCCCATCAGGCTCTGAACCAAAGAAACTCTTTTCCAGTGGATCAAATGACCCAATTTATGAATGAACGATCCTTATAAACCAGAATTTCCAAACACACACATAGAAGTGACACATAACAGTGGTCTTGGCAGGTTTGGCAATGTAATTGTCTTGGATAGCAGCTGCATGGCCTCCAGCAACTTCTATCCTCTGAAAGCCACCACAAATCCAAAGGCTTGTTTGGTCCAGAGTAAGGAAGTGCCTCTGAAGTCTCAATGCTGCCAAAGCTTGCTTAGAGAAGAGTGGGATGCACTGAATCTGTAATAGGATGGGCAACTCTAGAAGAAGCCTCATAAAACTAGCAAATGCCACAGTGATTTAACTTTTAATTAAAATTAACCCATTTAACTCATTATATCCAAACCCCCTTTGAGACGTTTACACAGAAGCCCCATAGAACACTTTTTACTTGGGGTAACTCTAGAAACAGCTTCTAACCCAGTATCTACATGGAAAAGTCAATTCTCTTCCACTTCTGCTAGCTCTTCTTATGCTAATGGCCCAGAAAATAAAAGGCAGTCCCATCCTGGGAAGTTATTTCTGAAGGCCCACACCTGAAGCAAATTAAGAGAAATCTTTACACTGAGATTTCAAGTTTTAATTTTGAAAGTCCAGGGCTATGGCATGGCTGTGATACAGGTGCTGCAACCCTTTCCTTGGGAAAAAGTGAATGGTCAAAAATTAAGTCAGATTAGACTGCATCCGTGAAAGCCAGTGTCTCACAAATACAGCAACCACCTCAAGCAAGGCAAAAAAGTGCCAGTAAGGGATAAAAAAAATCCCCAAAACATCTTGCTATAATGTTAAGAGTTGCCTGCAACAGGGCTCTCACTTTGCAGACCAAGGGGTGAACCCATCTGTGTGCTGAAGATTGTGCGTTCAGTCAGTTCCAGCTTTTGCTTATTTTGCTTGTCTTTTAGTCACAGGCATTGAAGTAGAAAACATCATCAACTTCAGAAACTATTCTACCAAGGGTATGGGGAAGGAAAAGGTAAAGGGACAGGGCACTTTGGAGGAAGAAATAAAGGATACTAAAATCTAGGTTTAAAAAGCTTTTTCAAAAGCAGCCTCAACTAAATAAAAGTTTGTGACTGGAAAGAATACAGTAGATACCTAGAAAAGTGATAGAGGATTTCAAGGTCTTTGCTCTACAGAGATCTGGTACCACCTTGATGCCACCTGTTACTTCTCACCCCATCACCAGCTATTGGATCAGGGAAATTTACTCCTGAGTCAGTGAGATCTTTGCATGGCCCTCATGAAGAAAGGAGAGTTGAAATCTAGCTAAGGGAGCACGTCTGAGCACAGGTGAGCTCACAACACACAGTGCCTAACAGTGAGGAGACTGAGGGAAGATTTTATATTCTAGTCAATTCGTTTTTGGTGAAGCCCAATCAAGGCGAAACACAGATGATGCCCACTGGCTGAGGAAAGTCCCCATTAAGTCACACAAGCAAATTCAGCAGAACAAGTTAGATTTATCTAAAATCTTGGAAGCCTTGAAGGAAGAACTTCACACTTCAAGTGAACAAGGAGAACAATGGATCTGGGAAGGGGCAGCTGAGTGTGTGTAGGCTATGCTGTAAACCAGAGTGTAACGCTGTGGCACTGCATTGAAGCTTCTATGAATTAAGCCAAGGGTGCCTGAGACACTCTGCTGCTGTAGCTCGTTTCTCTGGGATCAGCTCCAACATAGGTAGTAAGAAGTCTGTGAATGCAGCTGCCTCATCTTGGGACCACTCATATTTTTCCACCAACACTTCAAAAAGGCCCCAGGGCTTCAGTTTGGTGATGTGCTTCAGATCACCTGAAAACCCAAGACAGACAGGTTAAGTCTGGCAAGACATGGGAACAGAGCAGCTCAGTAAAATAGGCTGAACAACTAAACATGACATATTGAATTCAGAACCTGTTCTAATAGTTGAGCATAGGGAATATAATGTGGTAGGGCATGCTGAAGGGAGAAGCAAATTACATTAAAACCCCTTTTCCACCTGTTTTATAAGCCTATTACAGAAATGTACTTCCTTGAAAGGTTCTTTTTTTACCTCCTGTTATTTCAGATCCAATATAAGCAAATATTACCTTCATTAAATCACCAGTTATACAGCTTTGACATGATAGATAAACACTATGCCATTGACTCTGGAATACATGCAATGCATACCGCACTGTTTGAGAAACCAATACACTATTAAAAAAAAGGGTTTGTTTCTACTAAAAAAAAATATTAAACTAGGTCAAACCCTACTTTTTTGACTCAATACATTTCTGGGGTACTTAGGGCTTTATGATAATGTTATGTGCTCTGAGCAATATGGCTCACGATGCAAGGCACTATTTAAGGTGACTGGCATGCTATAAATGGAGTAAACCTGTCTAGTCTAAGAGAAGACTTCAAAAGTGAGTCACCACCTCTAGTTGACAAAGATCAGCTAAATAAAGCCACATCAAGTTTGACTAAACATCTAATGTACTTTTTTTCTACCTGCTACATTTGATCTACACCAAGATGTCAAGTATCAGGATGTAGGATACTTTTAGCAGTAAAACAAGAATGCCTTAGATTTAGCTGCAGTTTTACTGGTGAAGCCTTTCATAAAACAAAGGAAAGACTTAAAGAGGCATCTTTGCTGGCATCTATTTCTAACTGGCAGTTCCAGCAACACACTCCTATGTATTTGGGGTAGAAGATGAGGGGATAAGTGATATTTCCTTTGTTTCCTTTTACCTTTTTTGGTGAAAAACTCCTTGGAATATTTTCCTGCCAAAATGAGCTTGCGAGGTATTTTCCCCAGAAGTTCTATGATCAATGCAATGTGATCTGCATGTTAAAAACAAACAAACAAACAAACCACCAAAACCACACAAGACATTTTTATGTTGCAGTTTTCTGTTTTGGGATATAAAAGAGACATTATCTGCCTTAGGAATTACTTTGATATCAACCAGAAATCAAGATTACAGTAAGCAACAACAAAGCCAGGGGGCAAGGAGGAAAAGAAATAAGGGTAATTTGAGGCCCTGATCAGTTGGAGATGCAAGGTAGAGAATCCATGAGCAAGAGGAATGTGAAACACCAGAACAAGAATATAGACTTGCTGCATGGTGTTTTACCGCAGAGGGTTTAGCACAGTTGCTGCTGATTTGGGTAAATAATGTTTTTGCAAGGAGCTTTTGCATTGCTCACTCAAAAGAGAAGGCTCATTCTGAAGAGGCAACCATTGGATTTCATGTCTCATTTTAAAAAGGGAAGACTTAGACAAACAGACCTTCATCTCGTGAGTAATCTTCTCCAGAATGAGGCTCAAACAGATAGTCTCCTGTTGCTAACTCAAAGGCCTAAACAAACAGAAATGAGTACATTAAATCATTTCAAAACACTGTGCAAATCTCTGTGGGCCATAAGCAAAGCACTGTGAAAGAATAAGATTATAGCTGTGTAAGAGATTTTTGCAGGTTAAGTACACCCTGATAGCCTAAGATGTGCAATGCCTT